TTATTTTTATTAGCAACATTTCAGCGTTGCATTGATAACAAGATTTAATTTTAAATATAATGAAATTATTTTCAGTTTTTATACAAGAACATCCTCGCTGTTGAAACCGATATCACCAACTGAATTTACTTTTAAAAAGAAGTGGCTTTTTCTAAAATGAACTGAAGCTTTTATCTCAATTCCATGCCATTTAAGAGGAGGAAGATTACATGGCTTTCACAATACTTAAAAAATACAATGGGTATATTCTTATTTACATACACGCTCATACAGACATATTAATAAGCATCTGACATCTGCTTGACGATCGGCTATGATAAACCAATGGACTATTTATGAAATGTAAGCATGGGTACGTTACTTTTTATACATAATTATAAGATACATTTTGTATGCATGTGTGTGGTCACCTTCACATTAGAAATGTTAAGCAGCCAACATGTGGCGGAAGCCAACACCTGCGTAAGACGTCGGAGGCCTTCCGCTTTCCTGCTTAATAAGCGTTCAAAGAATTTTATTTATATCGCAATGTTTTGTGTACACAGGGTGTATTAACTTATGAAAATTAAATAACATATTGACAATACCTGAGCGAAAGAATAAATATATATAGTGGCCACAATAGCCGAGTGATTAGCATTGCGTACTGCCACTTTGAATTCCAGTGTTGGTCTCCTGGTTCAACCAGCATTATTGTTGACTTTTACTTAAACAAATACTTGATATTAATGGAATCCATAGCTCGGTGAAAAGCATCGGTCAAATTGTTTAACCGGCAATTTCCTCGTTTATATAGTACTCACTCCTTGCTTTTGAAGTATTTTCACCTAAACATCTAACCAGAAGCAAAGACGAGTTTATTATTTGCAAGTCATGTACTAATATTTTATGTAACGTCGGTGAGATAAAATACCAGGGATAAATATCAACATATAATAAAAATTTTGCCCCACAAAATGACTTGATTTTATCAACATTAATGGAATGCTCGAACGAAATAGCTATCAAAACTACATGCAAATTGTATAAAATATTTTGATCAAATCTTGTAATTGATAAAAATAACTATAACTAGTAATTCGCGAAAACTCTTCTAGCCGTTTTTCCATCATTACTATTCCAACTTCCGTTTTGCTTGAGAATGCTTACATCCAACCCTCCATTTTTGACCACATCATTTCCTGAATTTCCTTTTGCCGAGTCATCAACTTTATTTTTATTAGCCTGGGTAATATGCCACTTTTGAACTTCAAGCCTATAGGATATGTTTGATACAATTTTAAAAAATCAAACCGAGTCATGCAATGGACTGACACCATATTTATTTCAGAGTCCCAGGTCTTGGCTTAAAACATTCGGAGTCAAAATCTACGGTTTCGAGGGGATATTTTGGTTTAACCCCACATATTAGGCAGCACTTAGTGGATGTCCTACCAGTTAGAGGGTTAAGTACTTTTCCTTCAATAACCAAGGAGACGGTTTTGTATGTATGAAATCCTTAAGACCAGCGACCTGCATATCCAAATTATCTTTCCCCCTTACTATGGCATTCCTTTGCATAGTCAATAAAAAGTGGCCTGCTGCAGAACCTCACAGATTGTGGAGCATTCTTATTCAAAATAATTTATTGATTTGCATAGGTATCAAAGTGTTGACAAAAATGAATTGATCCAGGTAAGCAGGTTCTTTTGATCGAAACTTCTGCGTAGATCCATCTACACCAGTAAATTCATCGAAACCGTAGCTTGCTATTCAACGTACAACCTGAAACATTTTTCATTTGAGATATTGCATCTATTTGTAGGACCAATATTATTCCGTCTGTAAGGTCTAAAAAGTTTTGCATTGGAACCTGCGGAAAATACTCAGAAATTTCTATTTGAATTGGTCTGTAAAGAGTTTTGGCAGCTGTGTGTTGAAGTGTTGAATATTGGGAAAAATATCTTAGCCACGAGCTTTATTAGAATGATGCATATTGATATACTGCTATTTGCTTATCCCATTTTCCAACAAAAATGGAGAAGCATTGTCCAGGGGTAAGGAGAATAATCATCTAAGATTTTAAACAGCCAGTTTCAGAATCAGCTTTAAGCGCATTCCAGCATGTTAGTACTTTAATTTTGGTCTACCCATTTTAGAGGGAGATGGATCAGTAAGCTCTTCATCCAAGGTTATAATAATCGCCTTGAGTGATTATCTTAAATTTCGACATTATACGGTTGCATTTAGGCACACATTTCTAGATGTGGGTTATAAAACTCCGAAAACTCCCCTGAAGCAATTCTTCGGCCGAGCTCCTCTTCCAATATTTGATTTTGCATCTTAATGTTTTTCCAACAAATGGAAGAGCTTAAAGTTTATACTAACAGGCCTCTTCTCACTGTTACCGGTATAAATTTAGTTACCTTTTTTTGGCGAACTGGTTACAATGTTTGAAAAAACTTTGGCAGCACTACTTTTTTCGCCCAGTTGGCAATAAAATAAACAAATTTTATTTATTTGTTTATTAAGGCATAAATGATTGGACCTAATTATGGAAAATATGCCAGAACAACAAAAAACAAAGCTGAATGAAAACTCTGTCTTCCAAATTAAAAGGGTAATGCTTTTTCGCATACTTTTAAAAAGCACCTTTTTGCACTTTTTCTTCATTTTCAATGAATTCTAGACGTAAAATATGCCTACAAATTTTGGATTTTATTTTTTTTCAAACTCTTTTGTTGTTTTCATTTCCAAAATACACTCGGAGGGGTAGACACTCCTTGCCGAGAGGCAACGGCCTCAGGGATTTGAACCTGAGCCTTCCGAATGCTAACCACTCGCCGATATTAATGTATGTACTTTGACGAAAAAGATACCAGTTTTAGATGCACGCAAGAGCGCGCAGCATAAAAGTTAAACTCCATGAAACACAATTAAATTTACACAACAAAACATATAGAACAAATAGAAACTAATGCAAAACGTTGATTCTACATACCTGTATGGTAAATAATCTCATATTTCCAAACAATATTCACTTTAAAGAATTTTCCAGGGTTTCAAGAGTGCCCGACGTTGAGTACAGCCACGCGACTGTAACAGTATAGTAAAAAGCTTGACTACACCCCGTCACACCCCCATATCCGTATATATGCGTACAAACATACATATTGTTACGATTTTGCTGAATCAACCTCGATGATTTTCTGAATCCTTCGGTTACGATCTCTGGATTGTTAAATAAAAAATCGCCAACTTAATTTGCAGTTTCTTTCGTTATAAAGAATTTATCTAATGTCCTTTATTTACTCAGTAATTCACAATTCAATTACAATGCACATTACTAGTTACGATCACTTGTATAAAACCTCCACAATCTACTTTACTTAAATGTAATCTCAAACGCGTTTACTTTACGGCTGAAATAGTTTATTCCCCTATACTCTATGTTGTCGCCAACGAGTTCACTTTGTAATTGACTTAACTTGACAGCTGAGAGTCGCTCTTATAGTCGGCTGCTCGTAGACGAAGGTGTAGAATAATCGATATCGAAGGTTCTCGTCTCGATCAGACACATTTTCTGTTCCAAACTCAGCAAGCCTCTCAAGGTGGACCACTTTCATCTTGTTTCTTGGACTCCCAACGGTTTGGATTCGATACACTACGTCATTTAGTCGTTTGATTANGACTTTGGGCCTTTAGCTCCATGCAATTAGCAATCCACTTCGCGACCGATTGCCGACAGCCAACCCAATAAAACCGCTACTTGATCTTTTCCAGCGTTTTTCTAATGCCTAGGTGCCCCTCACTAGGACCGTTATGGAATTCCTCAAGAAACCAAGAAGCAAAAACAGTTGCGGATGCATTCACTAACAATTGGGTTACCAGATACGGTGCGCCTATAGAATTGCACTCAGATCAGGGAAGAAACTTTGAATCGTTGGTGTTCCAGGAGATGTGCCAGATACTTGATATTCGAAAAACCCGAACGACAGCCATACATCCTCAATCAGATGGTATGGTAGAACGATTCAACCGGACCCTGGAAGAGCACTTGCGGAAAGTAGTGGACAAGCATCAGAATGATTGGAATGTGTACATGCCGCTTTTCCTGATGGGAAATCGGTCCGCCGGGCATGTACCTACAGGGCAAACACCTGCGAGGATACTGTTCGGTAGTGAACTACGGTTGCCCAGCGATTTAAAATTTGGAATAACTGGTCATGCGAGAAAAATTGGGAAGGTAACGTCTACTGATCTCGAGGACGAGCTAAGAGAGGTGCATGCTCTTGTGAGACAGCGAACTCAAATTATGAGTGACAAAATGAAGACCAGGTATGACAAGGCGATTCAACTTTATTACGAAGATACACGTTCTGTAAAAAATGTGTTTCGCGAGATTTTATAAAATAAAAAGTAAATAGGATTTGATAGCATTCAAAAATATTCAATGAAATTTACGAATGATTAAAAGCCAAAAAGCAAAACTTAATAACATCAGAAATATATCTTTTCTTTCTTTTAAATTCAAAATATTGGCACTTTTAAATATTTCATATGATTTTTACAATAAACTTTAATTGTTTTGCTTTTTATATATATATGTAATATAATTTTTTAATTTTAGAAATAAAATACAAATTTTTTGCAAGTCTTCTGTATCAGGTACATTGCTTAAGTCCAAGCTTAGCGTCCTCGATCGGATTATAGGTACTGCACGGCGACATCTATATTTCATCTTGTTTTCAATTTAGACAAATTCCGGAGAAGATTGTAATAACTTATGTACTTATATTTATATTTATACATATATTTAAATTTATATTTGTATCATATTTTATATTAAAGTGAATGTTTTTTTGTGCAATGTACGAAAGAACGTATATAAATATATATAATATACGTTCTTTGTATATACGTTCATTATTACAACCCTGTGGTTGACTTTATTCACAATAGAAATATCAGATGTATTCGGGTTGTTTCTTTTATTGCATGATTCGTAACATTCGTTTTAATTCGTTCTATGTCGTGTATATTTTCAGCTGGCAGCCATAGAAAAAAGCGTCATCGTCTGTTATTTCACAACAATTTATTTATTTTCGGACACAGTGCGTGAAGTTGCATTTTGAAGCTCGCATATATAATTCAAACCTCAAAGAGTGACTGACTCAAATATTCTGCAGTGAGTTGCAAAATTTGAAAAGAAGAACATTCAAGAAAATACACGAAGGCTTGAAACTTGTTGGCGAAAGCGCACACACAGTAATATTGAGCAGTACTGCGCAGTATAAAATCACTGGAAAAAGTTATACCAAGTACATATTTTCAAAGTGATAGCCGAGTCAGGACGTGTCTTCACAACAGTGAATTACTGATAATAAATTTAAAATCAAATAGTAAAAGTAGCTAGCATTCAAGGAAAAATAACGCCGTGTAATAGTTAATTAAAAACTACACTGAAATACAAAAGATTTCTTAAAAAAGAACACGAATTCGAATCGAAAAAATATGGATAGTGAGGATACATGTTTGAAAATTACCTACGAGGTTGGAAAGGATAAAGTGAATGCATATATTAGGAAGTTTCCATTAACTTATGAAACTCTGAGGTACGAGATAACTAAGTGTCTCTTCAAAGAACGCGAGTTGCAAGAATGTGAATTTAAAACCTTCTGGTTTGGTAAGTAATCTAAAGAACTAGTTTTTGACTTTTTTGGAGTTGTTAGCTAACAAATTTTGCAGAATTCATTCACATAGGCAAGTGCGTTTGTGTGCACAAAATAGACTTTTGAAATGCATGCACTAACTAAATATGTACGTAGTGTCATACATAGATGCATTCCTGTGTATGTAATTTGATCTTTGAACTTCTTATAATTTTCATGAAAAAAATTGTTCAGAGGTAACAAAGCGTCAGATTTATTACGTACTATACTATATCGTATACGTACAGTACTATATCTGGTTTCCTAAAATATCACTTTAAAGAAAAACAAGTTATCCTCTTAGAAATCATGTATGTATTTTGTTTGTGTTAGGAAATATAAAGAAACACTAGCAAAAGCATATGATGTGACTACTTCACCTTTTAATAAATAGCCTTGATAGAAATCAAGAAAATCCATTACTATTGAATGTTTTGTTTAATACATGATATGCTTTTTAACACTCTTCAAATTTATTCACCCATGATCAAGTGAAAAAATGCTATTTCTCATACATAGCTCCAAAAATATTCAAAATATCCGCTTGGCATGCCATAAGCAACAAATAAGGGTCACTAACTGAGGAATGAGTTTTGTCGCCATAAATATGGCATACTCACAATTTTTCTTGCACATAACATCATTAGGTCTGGATATTGTAGCAGGTTAAACTCCTACTTATCCAGACTAGACTCCAGCATACCCAACGTATGCCCTGCATGTGGACAGTCTCCGCACGACACTAACCACCTCTTCACATGCCCTCTCAAACCAACTCATCTAACCCCCTCTCCCTTTGGTCCAACCCCGTCGAAACAGCTCGTTTCCTGGACCTTCCGCTAGATGACCTCGGCGACTTAGACTGGTCAAACCTGTGTCCAAGCGAGGTTAGCGAACCGCTAAAACAACAACAACATCAGTCGTAGATATTAGCCAAATGTGTTTTGTCGGGTATATGCATATATACGTACAAGTACATATGAATGTATATGTAATATCATAAAAGTTACCATCATTATCATTTGGCATTTATTGAATTATATGTATGTATATGAGAGTCTTTTGTAAGAACTTTTTATTATCAAAATTACACAACAATGACTCATTTAATTCAATGTATTTTTTATTTCATATCAGACAGTTTACTTAAAAAAATTAATCCTTATGCATACATATAGAATAAGTGAACCAGTGAACGAAAACAAGAAAGTTGTTAACAATTTGACATGATCGAATTAGGGATTCACGTATAACATTTAAACAATATTAAATATAATGTTAGTGGAAGAGCGAATTTATACAATTAGGTTTGATATGGTTTAGTTTCAGAGAAAATGATGTACAATTAGAAATTTATATAATGTTTGTTACAAAAAATCTTTTTCATTCAGGTAACTGAAAATATTAAGAAAAAAATGTTTGATGTCCGGTCAGTCCGTTGTTTTATTGCTCTATATATTATATTTAATTTAAATCCATCCCCCACTAACAAACAAATAACTATTTAACACGTTCCCCTAGGTGCACCAAATATTGTAAATCTTTTTAAACAAAAGCAGTGATGTAATTACATAAAAATGGAACTTGTTAAAAAGATTTAAAATTAAAACTTGCTATATACATGTATATATAGTTATTAATTTATTATTATTATTATTTTTTTTTTTTTTTTTTTTTGTAAAAAAAAAATCGGTACTCCTCGGTTACTAGATAGTTTCAGTTCACTGGTACACTTACCCTAAATAAACTATAGAATAGTAGCATATATGTATATATAATATTTTGTTAACTCGATTTTTCCAGACGAGGACGGTGATGAAATCGATATTGTCAACCAAAGCGACTATGATGTTTTCAAACAAAAGTGTTATTGCAAGAAACATCTCTTTGTCTCACCATTACGTCAGCCACAGCAAGAAACATCGAAGGATGAGGAAAAGTCCGTACCCAATGACGATGACCCGACAGCGTTTATCATTCATGAGCGCGTAGAATGTGATGCATGTGGCGTGTCACCACTTATTGGCTTCCGCTATAAGTGTATTCAATGTTCCAATTACGATTTATGTCAACGCTGTGAAGCTCAACATAAACATCCAGAACATATGATGGTACGCATGCCAAATGAAAATTCGCCCAGTGTAATTGATGCCTGGATAAGTAGTCCTTGTGGTCGTGTTGGCGGCGGCCGCCGTGCAAAACGTGATCGCAAGTCCACAAGTGCCGGTGGTTGTCCATTCTTCGACTACACAGCTACAACTTCGGCTAATGTAAATGAGAATGTAACGAGCGCTGATGCAGATGGTAAGGCTGGTGGTACTGGTGGAAAGCATTACCACCATCACGAACGTAAGCATCATCGTCGTCATATGCGCAATGGTTTTTTGTCACAAATGTATGACATGATGTCCGACTTGGCCGAGGGAGGAGCCACATACAGACAAACGGATGAGAATGCTGCCGGTACACCACCGCCTGCAGCCCCATCAAAGACGGCAGAAAAACAGGAATCAAGTGAAGCTAATCCTGAAGCTGCTAAAGCAGCATGTGACGCAGCAGCCAAAGCTGCAGAAAATGCTAGTAAGATTGCATCTGAAGTGGCTGCTAAGGTGACTGAGCAGGCTGCGCAAATAACAGCAACACTAGCGGAACAAGCAGCTGCCCAAGCTACATATGATTTATTCAGTTCAGAAGCAGGAGCAACTGCTTCATCAGAGAATATTCAAACTGCAGGCGCAAAAGCAGGTTCAAATTCGAGCCCTAAAACGGTAAGTTCTTGTAGGAACAAATTACCTACGTTCATCTTCTAATAATATTTCTTTTTCGCTTTTAGACTAATACTACTGGAACATCAACACCCACTTCTGAAAATGGTGGCAGCAATAAAAGTAATAAATCAGAAGAGAATACTTCTGTACCAGTTACACCAACTATTGAAGATTTCGTTCAATTTATTGACCCGAAATTCATGAAAGCTGGCATTCAATTGCTCAACAATTTCAGCGGTATGTTCGCAAAAATGCTTGATCCAATGGATGGCTCTGAAGAGAGCTTCGCACCAAGTTTTTCAGGTACTGGTTATCAGGCACGCAAAGGCTCTTCAGCCTCAGCAGCTAGCTCAGTCAGCACCGCTACGACTTCAACAAACAATAACGTGCAAGTAAATGATAAACAATCTACCGAAACTGAAGATAAAAATAAGAAAGCACAAACTAAACCGAAAAATAATGAAGAAGCTGCAGCACCAATCAATCCGGATACCACCACAAATTCGACCGAAGTTATCGAAGGAAAACCACAAAATTCAGAGCGCAGCCGCTCAGAGAGCTTAGAAAATGATTGGCAAATGGTTGACAAACAAGCTGCTGAGTCTACAACAAATTTAATTGATATTTCAGCTTCAAGCTCAACCGAATCTATTGAGAAAATCGAATCCCCTGGTGCAGCTGCAGCAACATCGGTTCCAACACCAATTAACGGAACTACAACACCGAAGACTAATTCCAATATTAGTTTTGAACAGTTGAGCTTAGATTTGAAGAATCATGTTGAAAAGGAAAAGGAAGTCGTGAATACTGAAAGGAAAATAAAAACTGCTGATGTTATGCGCGGTGCTCCAACTCCATCACATAGCACTGGCGCTACTCCAAAAATGCAGAGCAACATGGCTGTGGTTGTCTACCATTCAGGTAATTTTTTTATTAAATAATAATAGAAGTGAAATGTTAATTTATGTCGATTTATCTTCTTTAAAAATAGATCCCAATATCAATAAAGCTATACACGCAATGATGGCAATGGGTTTTAGCAATGAAGGCGGTTGGTTGACACAGTTGCTTGAATCGGTAAATGGCAATATTTCGGCTGCATTGGATTTGATGTCACCGGCACAGAATCAAAACAGCAACTAAAATATTTATAACAGCTCTAAGTGGGCCACTTTTTTGTAGTTTAATATTTTTCTCATCCACAAATATATAGTGTTTAAGTACTCTGAATCGAAATGCATCGTAACCCTGAAAAATTGTTCCGTATGCACTCGTATCATTATTAAAGCGATATATCTGCACTACTAGCAAACTATATCACCCTATTTTTTCGCCCGCATTAATCTCCATGAAGGATTTTATGGTTTCTTTTTATCTTCGTTATGTTTTCCTGTCACTGAATTGTTTTAATTACACAAATATACTTTATTATTTTAATATTCATGTATTTCATAAACACTTATTTCATAATGCGTCGTATTTACATCTCTACAACATACCAATACAATCACATATACTGAATAATCACGTTTTACTCTATTATATGTATTCTTGAACGGTTTTTATGAATCGAATACACAGATCTATATGTATATTATATCCGAAATAAAAAATATATAAAATGTCCGTAAACCTATTTTAATCATGTCTTTCGACACTAACGGTTCTTCGGTTGCTGCTTAGTATTGTGACTTCAAAAAAATTCCGAATGGATTCTTCGCAGATGTTTCGGAAGTAATAGCATTTGAACAGATAAGGAATTCCAGTAGTTTCGACATAAAGGCATGATTGTCACGGAAACTATTGCTTTTTAGTCGCCTCTGGAGCATGTAGTAAGTTTCATAAAAAGTTACTTGTGCTTATATTTGGTCAATTATAATTGCACATAAAGAGATATACAAATCCAACACCAATCACACTGTCATGCAAAATATTGTGAGCAAAACTGTGACGCGCCTCCGTCATAATCGCGACAACTTTGTAGTTTAAGAGGTCAAAGTAATAAAAAAATCAATGCTCGAATCAGAATGTTATTAATATCTAAATGCAGTTGTACATCGCAAAGTTTTGTAGAATATTTTTAGATCTGCTGATGCACGCTGAGGAGCATCCATTTCATCAATCTGCTTCATTAGCTGAATTTTTCCGTAGAATATGAGGAGCCCTTAAATAAAGAAATGTAAAAAAGCAATGAAAATTGAAGCAGTTATATAATTGATATATTTACTTGTATTGTATTATTACCATAGCATGTACCGGATCCTTATCCACATTTTTCACTTACATATATCTGCTAAGAAGATAACGACTAAAATGGCGTTCTACTCGAAAATAAGAACGTTAAATAAAACGGATAATCCGTTCAACTGCATTATTTTTCAATTTTTTGTGCACTACGAAGAGAAAGATACACAAAACAACTTGCTTATGAGTTAATGCTGACCAAAATCGATAAAGGCTCTCAAAGTTGACGAACCCATGCCGGGCGCTATGTAACTCTTACTACTGGCGTGTTCTACAAGGTTTTTTAAACCATAAGTTCTTTAAAATGGAGGCTTCTCCAAAAGTCACTGCTGACAAAATAAGTCGTAAAAAACTTGGTTCGGTGGGGTTGAAATATGATAATTTTCAAGGCAAATTCACACACGGTAGTAGCAAGAAAGCAAAGAGAAAAAGGCTTTGTATTTTGTTTGTGTAATCATATGGTTACGATTTTGCTGAATCAACCACGATGATTTTCTGAATCCTTCGGGTACGATATCTGGATTGTTAAATAAAAAATCGTCAACTTAATTTGCAGTTTCTTTCGTTATAAAGAATTTATCTAATGTCCTTTATTTACTCAGTAATTCACAATTCAATTACAATGCAGTTTACTAGTTACGATCACTTGCATCAACTTTCACAATTTTACTTTACTTAAATGTAATCTCCAACGCGTTTAATTTACGACTCCAATAGTTTGTTCCGCTATACTCTATGTTGTCGCCAACGAGTTCACTTTGTAATTGACCCCCTTGGCAGCTGAGTGTCGCCCTTATATAGCAGTTGGCTGCTCGTAGACGAAAGTATAGAATAATCGAGTTGTTCAATATCGAAGGTTCTCGTTTTATCGCTCTAGAATGTACTAGTTATCGGCTTTTGCTCTTTCATCTGACATTCGACTCGCATTTTCGCCACAATATTTCAAAGAAATTGTGTATCTCTGATATTGTGGAGTGCAGTTAGCACTAGCACTATTGGCATACAGAAGTTGCATTGGCGGATGAGCGCTTCTGAAAGCTGCTATCCAGATCCCAAATTTCTTTTTGACTCTTGTGCACTTATCGAACAGTAACTTCCACTTCCCTTTGTTTGTTTCCTCCCCATCTTGGCATTGCAGAAAAAAAAACACTGAGAAAATCTGTTAAATATATTTTTTTTATTCTTACTTTGTACAATCACATTTTCTTAAAAAAAAAATCACTAAATTTATTATTCTACACTTTAATAACAACTTATCTAATAGAGTTTTCGAAGAAAAATCAGCAGTGGTCCCCATGAGGTCAGCATCAATACAGCTGCAGTCAAGTATTTGTAGAAACGTTCATGTTCCTTTAAGTTTCTCCGAAAGAATCCAGTGTTATAACCGGTATATTGTGCCAGCATTGCCGTAACAAAGGTTAAAAGTCCAAGAAAATTGTGTATGAAATCATTAATTGATGGTGACATATACTGGCGATAACTCGAAGAATAAAGACCCAATCCGCCGGAGAGACAGTTTATCACAAAGAAAATGCATGCCGCTAGACCTAAGAAGAATATTTCAAAAGTTATTAGATTAGAATGATACAAAAAAATTAGAATATTAAAAATTAATAATCGATTCCACAGGAAAAGTGCACATAGTTTCAAACTACTTCAAAATTGCTTTATGGATTTATCGAAAGAGAACGTAAAAAGCTAAGTAAACAACATGTTGATTAAATATTAAAAATATCTAACGCTTAACGCAAGACATACTAATACGACAGATTATTCCATAATGCTATCCACCACGAATGCCCATTAAATTTTGGCAAAAGCTTTCTTCAGAAACTGTTGTAACGAAGTTCCTTGGCTGGGGTAAGCTCAGGGTAACCAGGGTAGCCAAATTAATAAGTCGCTTTATTTCCTGTTGCAACAAAGTTTGATTAGTTTAAATTAGTTTCTATGTTCTACTTTATTCGTAAAGATCGCGGAGGTGGTACACCCTCAACTGGTCTTCCGTTCTGTGAGGTGGAATCCCTCTTATGCATATACTCTTCTATTGTAAAAGTTGCGGAGGTGGAACTCCCTACACTGACTTTCTGTCAACTAGGTGAAAACCCCCGTTGAAAATAAACTAAGTGCTCGTGAAGTGGAAACTCTCAAGTGTACTACTTTTGTCGGCGATATTCACGGACAAGTATACCTATCGACCATCTGCTGGCTAATTAAATACTCAAACTACGATCGCTCTTTTTATACCTTTTTGCACGCAGGGAGAAAGCTATTTTATAATAACAATTATTATAACAAACAGTTTTCGTAATTCTATGGTGTGTATGTATATATTTTTGTTGTAAGGACTCCAAACGTCTAGGGTTTTGGGGTCCTTACACTGCGATGAGAGTGATAAGCTCCTGAGGACCTGCGGGGTAGGGGTTCGAGAATTTTAACGCGGTAAGGCATTCCTGTTGTAAAAGCCAACCAAAATCCAAAAGTTCTCGCGATAGTCGGATCTTTACACCGGAACGCCCGGATTTTTGTCCGCCCAAGGACTGTCTCTCCCGCAACAGCCGAGCGGTTAGCATTGCATACTGCCATTCTGAAAGTAAGGGTTCGAGTCCTGTTTCAGCCAACATCGAAAATGATCGAAAATTAATTAAATTAATTGTATGTCGCATACCACAGATTAAAAAAAGGAGCTCGGCTAAAAATAGCGGTTTAGCGGTTTCAAAGCCCCAATTATATATAAAAACTAGCAAGCATTGAAAACAGCTTAAATTTTGTATTAATGATATACTAACAATGAATAAGTGTAATTTTGTTAAACTTAACCGAATGATAATCAATCAATTAAATGGTGAAGAGTGAAATCATCGCCCGCCTTATTAAGTTTCCGATGACAAAAAAGAAAAATAAAGCTCTTGCTGAATATGCAAGGACTCAAGAATAACCGAAATTGTATGTTGTTACTTTTTTTCTTGTTGTGACAGTCCATGACCGTATAAAAATCCTGGTCGTTCCAATATAAAGACTGTCCTGCGAACTATTGGAGTTTAGTCGTCTCTTACGACAGCCATGCCCCCAACCCGCAATCGAAATTCTATTAACGTTCAGTTAATTTTTCGCACGAAGAAACTCATTTCCATATTTTAATTAACCGTAGAAAACCATTTTGAAGAGAAATCTATAGAATATTTTTTCAGTGACATAACGGCATTGTATTCACTACTACGGCAACTCTCACGACAGCCGGTTCTACGCACCGGAGTTGACCCGGATTTTATCCGGCCAAGGGCTGTCACCCTTTCGGAGACCTAACCCCGTTTAGGTCTACAGGTAACCTTAGTCTAAGTACGTCAACGGAGCAACACCTCGCAGCTGGGTTGCTCCAAATCCTTCTGATCAGGGCTGGTGTAGAAACCAANTCGTTTCCTGGGCCTACCTTTAGATGACCTCGACGACTTAGACTAACTCAAGCCTGTGCCTAAGCGGGGTTAGCGAATCCGCTACAACAACAACATTGTATTCACTATGTGAAAAGTGTATTTCACTTGAATAATAAAAAAAAAAAACATAAAACTATATATTGTCCCATTGAGAGTTTTAGGCCGGGAACTTATCAGCCGACTCTCGTACATTATTGTGCAGCCATCAATTAAACAAATTTTCAATTACAAGAATTTCATTTCCAGATTGCTCAACTTTGAATGATCATATCGGAGGAATTCCTTTTTCGGTTTTATTATAGTAAAACTTTTCTGATTAATTAATATATGTAAAATAAAAAAAATTTGCAGAAAATGTGCTGCTTGTTGCTTTAATTTTTTCTTTGATGCGTGTGTTTTATGGACTTTTTCTCATTGTGCGTCGTCGCTTCCGGAAGCTTTAAGATACACTAGGGCCGTTGTAAGGTCTTTGATGACTTTGATTTTGGATTCCTAAAATTTACTAGGAGGCAGTGTCGACCAAATGGGCCACAAAATATTGTTGTTGCTGCGGTCACAATGACGATAATGCATTCTTAAGCATCCGGAAGCGACGGCGATGAAGAGAATGAATAAAGCTTGCTTTTTATTTAAACAAAATCTTATAGATACGATAATAATGTTGAGTTAATATGGAATAGCTGTTCTACAACTTACTGGCTAATTTTTACTGAATCCTTTTCGGTGAAAGCTCAGTAAATTTCTTTCTTTGAGAGAGTAAGACATCTTCGTTACTGGCTTCTTTTTACTGACATTTCTCAACGAACACAACTTTTCTCTCCAAACTAAACGTTAAAATGCGCTCTCTCCTCATTTTACTGGGCGTTTGCTTCACCTAACACGATTCAGTAAAAAATTTTTACTGCTCATCAGGTCAAAATGAAGAGTTGTGCACAGCTTCACTTTGAAGAATTCTTTTCACATTCTGTTTTTTAAGAAGGACGCTTTGGAAATTTTATGATTCTCAATATTACAGCAAACAATATAAATATAATAATATCGATAATAATAATAATCTCAACGAATACCCTCCACCCGCCCAACCGACACGATAACTGATAAGAACTACTTTGCAATATCGAAATAAAAATTACGAACTTTTTTTTAATGTCTCTAACTTTCTCTAAACATGCTCGTACATACCTAATTTGCCATGCCACGACCGGAAGTGATGTTCCTTGGGCAAAGATTTTTGCAAAGTACCCGCTACGCCTAAAATACCGCCAGTCAACTGCAGCCAAAAATGTAAATTGGTCTTTGTATCAGGATGCATAGAGCGGGTAAGCCAATTATTATTGCACCGCACCATCATACCTTCCGCCGATAGGAAGACAAACTGTAGGTAAGTAGAAAAATTTGCAATTTTAAAATTAATTACAATCAAAATTTAAATTTTAATCGCGAAATCTTTAACAACTCACCCCGAGTGTACAGAGGAAGGCATGCGTAGCTGTTTTTTGGAATTTCATCTCTGCACATTTTTTTGACATACAGACAGTTATAGCCAAAATAAAAGATTGATTAACAAGATTCCACGTGTAGCTGCTTATAACCATTGTGTTTTTGTAGTTTAAAACTGAAGAGAAAAATATTCAGTTATGTAGATCTCACAACAGTTTGCCTAATACTGCCGCTAGAATGAAGAGAAATTTTCATTTAGTTTATAGATTACAATTTAAAAAAAAAAATATTATCTTTTCTATTATCAAGTGACATTTTATTAGATAAAGGCATGCACATAACAAGAGTTAAACAAAAAAAATAGCTGTTAAAAAGCTCTTATTTTCATTCTCCCGTCGTTATCAACTCTATAACATTCTGTAATTAAACTCTTTGACTAAGCCACTAGCTGATTTTCTTGTTACGCTGTTATACAAATGAGCACTTAAAATATTGTATAGCACAATCAGTCTTCGCTTCTTTTACAACGATAATTAAATTGGTGAAATCCATAATTTACTGAAAGAACTTTTTGGTCTAGCAGTCTAAAGTCTTGCTCATGAAGTGTAATAAAAATCATATCAATTTTTGATGAACCTGTTTTTAAATCATAATTTCTTTAGTTTGTTACTCTACTAAAACCCAATGAAACGAAAACAAAAACTGAAAACTCCAAATATAGTTAACTAAAACTAGGAGGTGATGACGTTTCCTTACATCAAATTAAGATCATGTGTTACATTTGTAGGTTAGAGGGCTGTGCTGGATGTCGAGTTTACCAAAATTCACAAATATTTTGTCTTTATCTGAAACATATTTTTTTTTGTAAATTTTTCATATATGTAACCTCTACATTGATCTCTAAAGATTTTTCGACAACTCTTCACCATTTGTTCTAAAACATCAAGATGGAGGAGGAGTTCGGCCGAAAACCGCTTCAGCGGCTACAAAGTGCTCATTATGTATATTCACCATATTTATAAGGTAACCCTGCAAGAAGCCTTTCGATCATTTGAGCCAACATATGTCAGGAAAGTATGATGGCATATGCCGTCAGCTCGTAGAACGATTTTCCTATCATTTTCTTAAGGCCGAAATGACAAACGTGATGCTTACATTTGTATACGTGTACGCCATTCTCTCTTCGTTTCCTTGTGCATTTTTGTCATTCTTGTCGGACGAACAGAACACAACTAAGCGACAGCATTGGTACCAAAAGAAAACAATATGGACGTAAAGCGACAGCATTTATGTCGAAGGAAATCAGCTTTGACAAATATTTTCCCTACATATATACATACATACTACAAATATTATTAAGATTCAGTCTTTATTTCAATATTTAACATAAATCATGTACATGGTTTAAACAGCATACAAAGGAAATAACAATACAACAATAAATTCGGTACAAAAATCAGCAAAATGTTATAAGCAAAACGGTATATACAGAAGTAGTCTTTGATAGTGACGCAGCTCCTCAGCTCCATGAACGCCTCCGTCATAATCGCAGCTCCTTTGAAGTATAAAGACATCTAAGTAAAATTAAAAAAAAAATAATTTTCGAATCATAATGTTATTAATATCTTAATGCAGTTGTACCTCAAAAAGTTTTTTTTTTGAATATTTTTGAGATGTTCTGCTGCTGCAAGATGAGAAACGTCCATTCTACTCAACCTGCTTCATTAGCACAATCCTCCATACAATATGTAGTACCCTTAAATAAAAACAATGTAAAAAGTTATAAAAAATGAAGTAATTAATTAATCGACAATATATTATAACCGGAAAATCGAATAATACCTTCAACTGCATTCTTCTTCAATTTTGATGTACTCGGTAGAGAAAGATAAAAAAAAATGTACATATGTGTTAGTGCTGACCGAAATGGTGTGAGTGTATTGGTGAACCTATCAACCCGGTTCTTGCAGAGAAGTGATTTCCTTTCCTTATTTTGATGCGCTACTTTATTAAGTCCGAGCTTACACGGGGATACTTTTTGTCGACGAAACACTCGTTTGTAGGACTGAGGTTACATGAGGATACTTTTTGTCGCTTATTTTCCTAATTTTCCTTTTTGTGTCGCCCTTCACGTTCACACAGAGACACTTTCATAAAACAATTTTTTTTAACATTTTCGTTTGCTTCGCGATTTTCAATATTTCCGAAATAAAAATGCTACGTGTATGTAAAGGAAGACACAGCTTTTATTTATCAATTTCTTATAAATATTTTTTCATTCGAATAAATATTATACCCTTTCAAAAGTGTAATCTAATCACATATCTCATCCTTTTCACTATCATCGTAGTCAATCTCAGCGGCTTCTTCAATACACTTTAATATTTCTTGCATTGAATCAACTTTATCTGCAAACTACATTGTAAATATTGTTTTCGCTAAGATTGGCATATTAAGTTCTACATAGAAGAAAGCTAGCTTACTTGCATAGCTTCGAAAAGTCTTTCCTGAGTAGATTTAATTAAATTTGTTTCAGTATAAACCAGCTTTTTGCACTGAAAACTGAAAACAAGGAAACACAGTGATTTCATGGGTTCTGCAGCCAAATAAGCAATGAATATCAATGTTTTCTTATCTTATGGTGATATGATATTTGCAATCACTTCATTTGTTTCCCACCATAAATTAGAGTGCTCAAGGAATCAATGAAAATGTCTGTAATCGAAAAAGTAGTCTTGAGTAGCAGAGGTAAAAACTTAGTCTCGGTACTTATTTTTTTAAAATACTGTTGCCGAAATTTTGGAGATCACAACATGTGGGATTTAAGTGGTGCTGTTTAAAGTTATTTTGAAGTAAAAGTTTGTTTTGAATAAAGCAAATATATAACAAATAAATAATAACAATGTGCTATCAGGCGATTTGTGGACACGAAATCCCGCAATAATAAATCAAAAGGTGGAAGAAAGCGTCTAACCAATAAACGAGAAGACCGAACACTTATACGCAAGTCTCTCAAGGATCGCAAAAAATCTTCTTCCCTCCTTGAAGCTGCCCTTTCGGATGACTTCAGTAAACTAGTTAGTGCTCGAGCAACTAGACGAAGACTTCTGGAAGCAGGTTTAAAAGGATGCAAAGCCCGAAAGGAGCCGTGGCTCTCAGAAAAGAATAGGAAAAATCGTTTGGAAAGGGCTCGCCGTTACCAGTATTTCACGGAAGGAGAATGGTCGATTGATCTGTGGTCTGATAAATCAAACTTCGATGTAAGCTTAATTAAGATCTTCTTAAAGTATAAACAGTCATAGCTTCTTACTCTAGAGCAATTTTGAAGAAATAATACAAATATTATAAAAACATTATTTTTTCTTTGGAATTTTTTACGAACCGTCACTATTTTTATTATGAATATTAATCATTTCAACGCGTTGTTGAATCGTGTACAGTTGCATTTTTATTACAGTTATGTTCAAGTGTCAAGTGTCAAAAACTCACAGCTTCAAAAGTGACATCTACCGGAATTACAGGTTATTCAAAATAACACCTCATATTGGAAAACCCTTTACGCGCATGAACGACATATGCTGCCCAAAATGTTAAAAAATTTTATTATAAATTAAATATATTTATATGTGCATTATTATAAGTTAAGCTTACATATATATATATATATATATATATATATATATATATATGTACATATGTATGTGCATGTAATAACAAAACTAATTTTTTCGATAGTGTATTTTGGCATTAATTTGTTAATAGTTTAATGCAATTTTTGGATTTTTCGATAACGACCATAGCATTGTTTATTATTATTATTATTATTATTATTATTTATTTGCCCTTTTTACAATTGTATATACGCATATATAAATTATTATGTTTGTTGAAATGCATATACGTGTAAAATTTTATCTTAGAAATCCTTGATAAGCACAGCTGCTTTTTTTTACCAATACAACTAGCAACAAAGCAAAAATCAATTAAAATTAAATAAATATAAAAACATACATACATATGTATTTCGATACGATATTTAATATCTGTCGCTATTTAATCGAGGAGACTTGCATTAATCACGTACGTGAGCAGACAATATCATAAGGTAATATTTAAAAGCAATTACTTTGGCATGGCAGCTAAGAAGTCAAATAACTTTTCGCCACCGCAGACACAGTGCTACCGAGTTAGCAAGACAGGGAGGAAGTCCTTGTAAAAGAAATTTAATTTTTGATTTTATAGATTTCGAAAGTGAAACAAAAGCGTCTTATAGCTTTAGTGAAATCATAAACGTGAAGTTTTAAAATAATTAAATATATAAAATATTATAATTTAAAATGGTCGCAGTAGACTCTAAGGAAATCTCAATTTGGGCAAATATACTGCAAAGAATTGAAATATTTTTATGGGTGCTAAATCAAGCTTGCATTGGCTTTGTAACAATCTATATGTTTTGGGCATGCATTTCCAGAGGTATGGGTACCATGCAACTGCATGCCTTTCTTGTGACCCTCGGGGTAAGTACAACAAGTTATATTGAAATCGAATATATGAGAAATGAGAGTATTTCTGCAATATCGTATAGATTTTGTTGCAAATTTTGCTGAAAACCTAAATCCAAAGGGAAAAATGGTGGATCATCTTGTGAAAATGGCGGAAATATATTTTAAAATATAAAGTTTTCGGCGAGAATTAAAATACATATTACATTTAATTTAAAGATAATAATGGGCTAAAGTGCTTAATTTAAAAATATTTTTAAGAGAGAGAAAGTTGACTAAATTATTTGTGAATTTCATATACTAAATCTGCACCCACCAGTCCAAAGTTTAAAGAAAAAAAGTAAAAAAGAATAATAAGTTTCTCTCAATAACACCGATTTTGAAAAAGCAAGTCCCTTATGCCCATAGAGCTTAAATGAACAATGTATAGTGTAAATCTTCAGATCTAAATAAATATATTAGTAACAATGATATTTCGAATAAAACTAATTTAAAAATCCTCCATTTATCTCTCCAGTTCTCCCTGCTAATGGCCGAAGGTATAATGTGTCATTATAGTATTAATCCTCTGACAAATGGTTTTCGGCGCAAAAGTAAAACCACAATACACTGGATACTACTCACTCTGGGCGGTGGTTGTGGCGTAGCGGGTTGTCTTATTATGATAGTTATAGTGAAATTTAAAATGGATCAAACACATAATCGATTGGGTAAGTAAATTATTAATATATATATTAAAATATATATTTATATAAATTCACATATGTATGCATCATTAATCCATCATCAACAATCAATTTGTACTCTTCGCCACAGGTTTCGCGGCCTTCATATTATGCTTAATTAGCATGCTCTCCGGCTTACTTGCTTTGTTCTCAAAAAATCTTCGACGCATACTAAGTCCCCTGTTCAATAAAGGATTCCATAATTTGGTTGGTTTTGGTACATTTGTAACGGCTCTGGTTGCACAATTCTACGGTTATGAATTCTTTCATCACAGTCTAAGCTGGTCGTTTATAAACGTTTTACAAGTGGTGACTCTTGTGTCGCTAGTGCTCACCTCTATTGGTCCGCTTAAGGCACTTTATCAGAAAATCTCTAGTTATTTTGAGTGATATAAGTATATATGTGTGTATGTTTAATGTTGTAATTAACAAGTATTTAATTTTAAATGTAAAAACGCTAAGCGGTTTGAATTAAGTATTTATATATATATTTATAAAACATTTAAAAACTGTAATTCGTAAGTAGGCGACTTTTGGTAAACAATTAGATTAGATTATCGACATTTTTACAAGAAAACCTTGAAATTTGTCAAAATGTGTTATATATTTACATATATGCCATAAGTAAAGAGGAATCGAAATATAACAACTTCTTTGCATAATTGAAATCAGGGCACATGTGGGTACAGGTTAGTATATGACACCGTCATTTTTAATAAATTTTCAATTTTAACTAAAATGATGAATAAGTATTTAAAAAAATTTTTGGCCTCAATCGCCTTGTGACATTGCTCTCCAATCATTGATGTACGAGAGTATTATCATTATAGAAAGTTTCCATTATAAATATTATTAAGTACTCATATGCACACACATATACTAGCAGACCCGCAAGCACGTTACTTTTGGTTAATAATAATAAAGAAAGATTATGTGAGTATGGGCAGGGAATGTCAAGCTCTTCGAATGTACTTCTAATACCACAAAGTGTAGAAGGAGCTCGTACGAAAGTCGCTACAGCTGATAAAACAGCAAATTTATATATTATATTTATGTAAAGCCCAAGTTCCTCTAAAAAAAATTCAATAAAACGAAATTTTTTCCTGTAAATATAGAATTAGTCCCGAAGGTCCGCTAGTCCAGGTATAGAAGAAGAGAGGAACCTGGCCTCTAAGGAGCGCATATAGGAGATAGATATGTGATTTGTGCTACTTAAAGTGCTTCACGAAAATGCGAATATGAATTCCTCGAAGTAAACCTTATTTCACTACTCTAACTCACACCTTAACCCCCATTCAGTACGCAATTTGACAGTTTCCGGTTTCACTTGTTTGTTCCATTTAAAAACGCATAGAAAATGAAAGATATGAGTAGAAGTTAACAAAATCTTGAATTGAATTGGATATGTAATGACAGTTCCTTTAATAATTTCTCATTTTTTCTTCTTGAATATACGGATATTAGTTTCAAATAAATGTTTGTGTGTTAGTGTCTTCTTTTATGATCTCCTCTCTTTTGTTTTGATTTGTCAGCCGGTTTCGATAAAAAGTAGAAAAGGCATCGATTTAGTCGTAATTCGCATGGCAATTGAAAACGTATTACCTACTTTTACCGTAATTCGCTCACTTAAATTTGTATGGCGAATTAAATAATTACGCTTTTGCGCCGTATAGTAGGACGGGCATGATGGGCTACATGAAGAGTTTGGTTTTCGTTCGCCGAGAGAGGACTTTACTTTTCAAGTGCCTACTCAGTCTAGTCCAAAGTAGCACCTGTTGGCAAGTGTGATTCTGCGTTGGATCTCCAAGCTGCCATTATTATTGGTATTGATGCTGGTCCCTAGATAAACGAAATCATTTACGACCTCGAAGTTATGACTGTCAACAGTATTTCGTCTTGCCCACATTCACTATCAAACTCATTTATTTCTCTTCTTTATCAAGCCAACAATTTCAATATCATCGGAGTACGCCAGCAGCTGTACACTCTTATAGAAGATTGTACCTTCTGTATTCAGCTCTGCAGCTCGTATTATTTCCTCCAGAGGTCCTTGCCGATTATGACGGAGCTTTTAGTGGTGCTTAAGGTCAGTTTACACAGGCGTATAAGTCTTGCGGGGATACCAACTACAGACATAGCGGCGTAAAGGCATCGACGAAGAGGTGGTGTGTGTCAATTCTTTATTCACGAATATCTAGTCAATGGCTGACTTACCAGGTCTAAAGCCACACTGATAAGGTCCAATCAATTTGTAGACCTTAGTGTGTCACACAATACGCTTGATAGAACCAGACTGTGGGATCGCCTTTCTTGTGGATTTAGCAATGCCCACTTGCAAAGAAGCTGATGCGCTACACTTGATCAGTTTTTCGTCGCCGTATTTGAATAGCTCGGCGGTTAATCCACCGATCCCCGCCGCTTTATTGTTCTTTAGGTGGGCGATTGCAATTCGGACTTCTTCATAGTCGGATAACGGAAAAACTTTTCCATTGTAGTGAAATGGAATTACAGGTTCAACTTCTCCGGTTGTTGCATTTTGATTGCCATTCTGGGCATTCGTCACTAGATCACCCCCCTGGGTCTTACAAGAGTTTTCTATGGTATTGATACCTTTCGTGAGTCGACGTATCTTTTCGTAAAGATTTCGAGCGTTAGCCTTGTCCGTCAGCTTCTCAAGCACCTCGTACTCATGCATTGCGGCCCCTTTCCTTTTTCCTTTGCAAATGAGTCTTGCTTCATCAACGGCATTCGTTGTAGTGCTGTTTTTGTGACCTTTCCGAAATCCAATAATTTCGTTTTCAGCTGTACGTAGGGAGTTTGAAATGCCATCCCACAGTTCTCTTATACCGGGGTGCTGACGAGTACTCTCAAAGAGCAGGTTTGCAAGACGAGTAAAAAACCGTTCGGCAGTCTGCTGTGATTGCAGCTTTTTAAAGTCGAACCTCCCTTGTGTTTGTTGACGGGCGTTCTTCAATACACAGAAGCGGGTGTGTATCTTCGCGGCGATAAGATAGTGATCCGAGTCGATATTAGAACCACGGCACGTACCCAACACTGTTTATAATACCTAAAATCACCCCTTAATTATAGATATGAGCGCATCAATATTTGGTAGAGTCTCAATATGTTAGGTGAACATGAATCTTACTAAAATACATATTTGATGTTTCTTTCGTCCACTTTTTCGACTTATTGAACCTTTTACCTAATAGTGTACAGCTTTAGCCATTTCCATAAATGCTGGAAAGTGGAAGAGATATCCGTTTCATAAAAATTTTATTTTTTATTTATTTAATATTTCATGGCAATTTCAACCGCTTTGGGGTAATATATGCAATTTCTGTATGAAACTAATGTACTTAACCATTTATGTATGTAAGCATATGTATTACTTTCAATTTTCTAACCTAATCTCTAATTCCAATCGCAAATGATTCAGTTGCAAGTAATAGTGAGTTGCTAAGACTTGGCGGGTCAAAATCTGCGCACCAATACATGTATAAGCACGTTGAATTTTTTGTGGTAAAACATGTAAATATTCACTTACCGCTCACAGATTATTCAAAAGTTTTTTTTTAATTTCGTTCAATTAATAAATCAAATTTTTATGGAATATAATAAATGAACAGTATTCTTTGTGACACTGTAGACTTTTCAAATATATATCGTTCCTACATTAAGTTTGGTTTTTTTTTTTTACATCAACTGCGAACCGCCAGAATATCTCACTTTATTAGCTTAAACGCTTTCGCTTAATTCACAACTTCCTCTTATTGAGTTTGAAACACAACTGAACCAAAGCGTCGTTCTTTGCAAGTCACAAATACGAATTTGAAATGAATGAAATGAAAAAATACCTTCAATTTAGAATGCTTTACAGCACAATACGAGTACAAGCATCGTGCATAAGAAAACAAAATATTTTTTTTTAAACTTTGGCTAACTTGGAATACAGAATTTCGCGGTATAAAATGACGTCACAGTTCAACTTCGTTACTGTTGCTTTTTGTAGTGAGTGTATGACATTGGTAAACCCCCAACTATTTCAGTGATTAAGCAAAAACGCCTTTCAAATTGTTACTTATGCACATATATATATATAATATATATGTATGCCCATGTGTTTTATATACTTGCTTATGAGTTTTTACCTCTTTCGAATTTATTGGATACAAATTGAGATAACTTATGCCAAACTGCGCTAATTATCTTACGATTAGTAGGGAAGAGCTGAGTTGGAATGCAAACACATGCTACTAACCTACTGTTTCGGTGGGACAGAAAATGCTTTCTACTCTAGGTGGGATGGTTTCTCGTTTCGTTTCGTTTTTTTTTTTAGATTTCATCCACGGAAAAGGCCGGAATCACTGCAGCACTGAAGGACCTTTGTTTGCGCCGTTGGAGATCGACTATAACTTAAAAAATATTTAATTTTTTTCTTCAAAAACTTCTCTGCCTATTCTTGAAACATATAATATATAAATATATTCTTAAAATTTTGAAATAATTGATTTTTTTAGGTCCTGGGTGCTCCCCTTAATTCATCGTGCACATCGGAAAAAATATCGCGGCAAAAAGGCACCATCTGACAGATCACCTAATTTAACCCCTCGCCGGACTTCTTTTTGTGGGGTTATCTGAAAAACAAGGTTTACGCCAACCAAGGCAGCATTCGTGCTGAAATTGTAAGTAACCAAATTGAATAAAATATATAACTTTAGAAATCTTTTGTTTTTTTTTTCAAAGTTATTTAATTTTTACATACCGACATAAAATATGGAGCACCCTGTAAAACTCTTGTGTCACAGTGTTTGTAGCAAAACTCCTCCGAAACAACTGGACCGATTTTTATGAAAATTTGTGTCCAAATCCGGCGCGTAAGTATAAGAATCGATCAAAACCCGTTTTTCATGCCAGGAAGTGGACTAGGAACAGACCTAATAGAAATACCCCGCATTTCTGCATGATTCGATTTACTTGAAATTTGGTACATCGGTAGTATTTTGCTTAGATTAGTAGGAACACTACTTGTGGGAAGTTTACCTGAGGCCGATCTGTTCAAAAAAATACCGTATTTATGGCTCGAATTAATATGTAAACATTTAGAAATTTTTTTCGAAAATGGACAGATGTTAACTAGTCCATTTCATAACCGCGTAGAAGACATTACATGTTGACTTATGTTGCAACTACCCATTTTACTTATCACCCGTCCATAACAGGCGGCGTCAGAAGCGAGATACATACACAATTGTTGACGTAGCTGAGAGCGGCGAAATGTTACCAGCTGCCAGTGTGTTTGCACACTTCTGAACAAATATATAATTTTCGTCAACAAATTTCATAATTTATGTGTTTGAATATAAACGCAAATCAAATATACATGATCTATATGGTAAAAAATAATTAGTTACGCTTTTAGTTTTTGAAAAAAGAACTACGCATTATCTTCGATTATTTAATATTACTTTAAAAAAAGCCTATACTGGCAACCTTGTATAGCAACGAGAAATGAGCCGAGCCGGTTTTACGCAAAAAATCAAATCGCCATTGGTTTCTGCGGAACAACCGTCACTAACGGCATGGGCAAGCGGCGACAACTTTGCGTTTACATGGCGCTCTCATAAGAGAGGTTGCTATGGACGGTTGGTACGTGAGTTGGGTAGTTGCAGCATTAAGCTTGAACTTTATAATAAGACGCGCTCGTACGTAAACGGCTTCCGTTGTCTTGCATTAACGTGCGTAAAACCCGAGCCACTCCATAGCGTGCGCTTACGTGCATTTGACAGATGTCATTTCAATGAATTACCCGACAAATAGAAACATTTTATCAAAGTAAGAGATTAAATAACTCTCAGAATGAGACACGGGGTTCATTTTTAATACATATGCGCGCTCGTTCAATGGAGAGCCCTAATACATATAATGTACGAGATTATTAAAATTATTGAAAAAACGTAAAGTCTCCTCCTGTATTGAGAACGGCTGGACTGATTTGGCTAACATTTTTTCCAAATTACTTGCATTTAATAAGAAAAAGCTAATACGAAACAAACAAAATTAACTTTATTCCGGGAAGTGAACCACGGACCGATTTATTGCTAGAAAATCCAGTTTATGTTTCAACTCACTTGAGACTTAACGGATTATAAGGTTATCGTACAGTTTAATGTAAATTATGTTCCATTGACGTTTTATAACTGCTGAAGAGATTTTCGGCCTGGTTGCTTTACTACTTGTGGTGACGCCTTTATGTTTTTCCAATAAATAGAAAGGAGTTCAAGGGGGGCTTGACATTCCCTGCGAAGTTTAGAACAATTAATTCTCCATAATTATGAATGTTAGTCGTGCCACGACTCAAACCCTGTCCTTCTGAGTGACAGTACGCAATGCTAACCACTCGACTACTGTGATCGTGGAAAAAATGGTTCCTAAAAATTTATTTTCGATTTGTGTGAAACTCTCTTCTTTTCGACATGACACTGATATGGTTTGTTTGAAATTATCTTTCCTGAAAGACTTAGTTAATTTTAAAGGAGAGATATTTGCCTAATGCGTTCTACGAGTATAATTTTGATGACAAATCGTGCAGAAGAAAATCAAAAGGATTTTAGCGAACCGTCTTTGTGGTTTGTTTTTCCACCCAAAACATTTATCGACTACTACCGTATCGCTTTTACACGGAGTTCGTTCAAGTATTTAATTCACATTAAGATGTGAGCTATCTGTATTTAATTAACAAATAGAATTTATCAAAAGTCATGGAATTCGGGCAAAAAATTTTATATTTTCAACTTAATCGTTCAGGTAGTTACTAAATTATGTACTTTAATAAATACATATGTGTGCACTTATTTATGTAGATAGATAATTACGTTTCGTATTCTGTTGTACAATAATTAACATACTGCCACATTTTTACTCAATTATTGCCCACAATTTTACAATTATTTCGTAAAGAAAAACTTGCAGTCAAACATTAAATCAATGCCAAATTGCCTTAGTTAAATACATTTTTTGAAAGTAAAACAAATGTAACTAAAATACATCATTAATATACTACTTAACATTTGCGCAAATGTATAGCTTGCTATTATTAGCTAACTGTATATATAATACAATAAACATATCAACATATGAACAATACCACAGCCATATGAACGGCCAAGAAATTCTGCTGATTAAAACTGTAGAACGGCGAACGGGGTCAAGATACCTCGATTTCCACATTTAGAAATCTAAGCTTGAAATATAATCTATATTTGTCTACAGCACGAGTATATACATAGGTAAACGCATATTATGTCGAATACGAATTTTAAGTCAATGCGCAGATACACACCTCGCACGCATTTCTATCATGATTCATAACTCAAACATAATTTTGAACCCTTTATTACATTAATTTTTAATGAGTATGATTCACAATTTGCACTCCACTAACACATATAAGTAAAGTATTAATGTGGCTTCCTTTTTTTCTACCACCCTCCGCACCAGGTGCGATAATTATTATTATTATTTTATTTTTTTACTCAATGATTTTTGTTAGTAGTGTCAGCATTTGAATTATCTTATCAGAAATACGTGCGCCAGACAAGTCAGCTAAACACATATGACATACTCGTAGTCATTATCCACTTTCCTAAATGAGTATTATATTGATCCTCAAGTGTCCGATCGGAATCGGAAATCATAACAGATTACATTCTATAATTATTATATAAATAAATTTTATTTAATCTACGTGATAAAAATCTGTTCAAACAGATATGCAGAGATACGAGTATTTATATGTGTGTATTAGTGTCTCTAGCATATTTACAAATGAAATGTTATTGGTCTCGATGTGAAGTAATAATTTTTAATGCCCATTTTAATGCGAAATGTGTATTAGAAGAACCAAATTCACACACATAAGAAAAATATTCCATAAACTTCCAAATGGTAAAATTTAATTTATTCCAAAAATTCTGCATAAAAAATTAATGTAAAAAGTGGCAACTCTTTCCAGAATTGCATGCAGCTTCAAGCCTTCTTTTCAATAACTTTTAACAAATATACGTAAGTATCTACGGTTGTTTTTAAATAATTTAAAAATCACTTTACACAATTCGTAAATGCTCACGTGCATTGAAAAACCAGTTTTTAAGGTTAATGCCTTCTAAACTTGTTCTGGTTGAAATAAAAAATAATAGAAATCAATTTGTATATACATATTTATTTATGTGCATATACACTTCTGTGTACCGTTATTCAATTTAAGGTCATGTGCTAGTTCAGCTTCTTTACGAAATATAGTTGGATGGAAGCATACCCGACGATTGGAATTTAAGTGCGCTCTGCTCAATCCACAAAAAGGGCGACCCCTCAATTTGCGCTAATTACCGTTGAATAAGCCTCTTTAATATCACGCATAAGGTTTTATCGAACGTATTCTGTGCAAGACGAAAGCCCACTGTCAACAAACTAATTAGACCTTATCAGTGTGGCTTTAGACCTGGTAAATCAACCATTGACCAGATATTCACCATACGCCATATTTTCAAAAAAGACCCGCTAATAGTGGCCCGACACAGACAACCTCTTCGTCGATTTTAAAGCAGTCTTTAACAACACGAAAGGGAGCTGTCTCTAAAGCCGGTGTAACCGCAAAACGGATACGGCTATCTAAGCTGATTTTAAGCAACACCAAAAGCTTCATCAGGACCGGGAAGGATCTCTACAAGCCGTCCGATGCCAAACGAAGGTAATTTCTCATCGTGTGATCTCTTTAATTTGATGCTGGAGAAAATAATGCGAGCTGCAGAGCTAAATAATAGGTCTGGCAGTGAACGAGGGCAAGACGAAAAATCTCCTGTCATCAAACAAACAGTCATGGCATTGAAAGTCATGGATAGTACATTATTTAGTCGATCTTGGAACTAGTATTAACACCTACAACAATGCCACCGTCGAAATCCAACGCAGAATCACTCTTGCCAAAATGTGTTACTTTGGACTAAGCAGACAATTAAAAAGTAAAGTCTTCTCTCGGCAAAACGAAAACCAAAAACTACAATTCCCTGATAGTTACCGTCCTGTTATATAGTGCGGAGGCATAGACGATGACAACGTCTGATAAATAGACCTTGGGAGTTTTCGAAAGAAAGGTTTTGCGTAAGTTTTTTGGTTCTCTACGAGTTAGTAATAGCGAATACCGCAGCTGATGGAAGGATGAGCAGCACTGGCTAGATCATGTGATGCGGATGGATAAAAATATTCCAGCTTTGAAAATTTTCGATGCCGTACTCACCGGTGGAAACAGAGAAAGAGGAAGACCTTCACTCGGTTGGAAATAACAGGTGGAAAGGACCTGACTTGGCATTTCCAATTGATGTAAATGGTATGCTGCTGTTAACTTGGCTATAATCGCGTAGGTAGTGTCTATGCCAGTAAAGAGGAAGAAGTTAGTTCATTAACGCCTGGGTCTCAGGATAACAAATACAATATGTTATATTTATTTTCGCACTCGACAGTTCTAAAACAAATGCCCTCATCCTTCCTTTCAATGCCTAAGTCCGCATTATTATTATCTTGAACACCATTGAACGTCAAACAAAAACCACAGAACTGTTCTGTAAAATGATCTTGAGTTATAAGCGAATTATATTATATTAAAGTAGCAGGCCTCATATGACTTCATTTCTATATACTCGTAGGTACTCATGTGTACCAAAGTTGTTAAGTATTAAATGTTACAAACAAAATTTACCGAACTTACTAACCTTTGCGGTTGAATTGCTTCGAGCTTATTAGCTTGTACTTTTACAAGTGCTGGCGTTCAAGAACATTGAATTAATGAGTATAGATTAGAAAGCACCGATCGCGCGGAATTAGAAAGGGTGATCCATTTCGAGATATCCAATCGCTGAACAAAGTTTGGCTCGAAAACGTCTTCTTGGCACTTTTCAAGAGCTCATAAAGCAAAGCGTTGTCGCTTGAGAACGTCGAGCGGCTTCAGTTATTGCATAAGAATCAAGGTCGCGACGTAAAATGCGCCAAGCCGTTCCATATCTCAAACCGAGATGCTGCGAACTGCGCAGAATCGATTATTGTGCTGTGTACTCTCTTAGATATGCACACTACGCACTGCGTGATTGATAAGGTCTATTCGGCCGAATATTATTCAATAATGATTGCTGAGTCTCAATATGGGTCATGGTGTTGATTATGTGGACCATAAGTAATAAAGTTGAACGATTTGTAAACGCTGTTCAGGCGTAAGACTTTCCATGATGAAATACCAAAGAATTTTGAACGAAAATAACATGACAGCTTGACACGTCTCATGCGCGATCTGTCAAAAAGGGCATTTGAAAGAAATACCTCTACTTGTATCACCCGCTATTACTATTAAGAGCAACCCTTGTAATTGATTTGAAGTTATGGCTGAGATAAATTAAATTGAAATTTTCTTCTTTTTGTATGTGTGAGCAGATATAATTTTTTATCTTAATAACTTCACATACAGTGTAATTAGAAGTATCTTTTCTCTGGGCGAAGGTGGAATATATTAAAAGATGTAGGAATTAATTATTTTATTTCTGATTAATACATATATGTATTCTATTTTACTTTAATTATTTTAATTTAATTGGTCGTATTTCATTTAATTTTTATCCACTTCAATTTGTTTTCTTATTATTTACATGATGATTAATTTCTGTGTAATGAAAACCTTTATCAGTCTCATCCGACGGTAAATCCCCATTTATTCCGATTCTGTGTAATTTACTCGCATGTATTTGTAAAATGTTTACTGTGTTATATATACTAACGTATTTATATATGTAACTCCATGTGTGCACTTTGTTATTGTTATTATTTTGCAAAACCTGTTGGCATTCTAATAAATAAAAAAAAAGATCCCATACATGCGGTTGAGAGAGAACTTATCTTATACTAGCTTTCTGACAATTTGCTCACTTATCAGTGTGATTGCAACAGTCGGTCGTCTCGGTGGATGAATACGCAATATTTGTAAATTAATTTTTATTGTGTACAAATCAAAATAGGTGAAGAAGAGTTCTTTTGCTTTGTTGTATTAAGGCAAAACAAACAAATTATTTGCGCGCTTATCTACAATTTCGCGGAAAATCTCACTTGTATAGCATTGTGCTTAGATACACGTTAATTCAAAGATTTCATATGAAGTGTGTGGTATTTTACGATATATGTGATACACATGTGTTATTGTGTTTATAATGCACACATGCAACAATGTCACGTTGATTGAAAAATTTAATGCAAATAAAATATAAATACACGTATATAGGAGTATATGGCCAATATACCTACAGAAAACTGATGTTCGAGCAATAGAATAAAATAAATAAATTCTTCAATTCTCTCTTATCTTTTCAAATTATTGATTTAAAATGGAAATAGTGTATCCCATGAAGTTCGAAATACAATTACAATAAACAGCTTGTCATGTTTAATTTTGTAGCTTTTATAAAGTGCTTTATTTAAGTAATTCTGAATTACATATAAGACCATTAGTGCATTTCATTTTATTCAATATTACTTGATTTTATTTTACCTCCTTACTTTTGTTTATCCTTATTAATTCCAGTATAGCACTTATTCAATATTTTCTAAATGCAAAACTCTAAAAATCAAAATCACTAAATTTCTTCCATTCAGTTTAACAGAAAAAATATATTCTCACAAGATAGCAAGCACATCACACAGAAAATATGCCTTACCAAATTTTTTATAAACACAATAAAAACGTGTACACCGTTCGAGTGTTACAAAAAAGTGAAATCTTAACACTCCTGCGCAGTCCAATATACTTTATTTGACAGTGTGAAAAATAGTTCACTGAAAATAACTATACAATCTATGTAAAGGAAATACATGATAGTTATATTGAAAATATTTTAAATACATACATATGTGTATAAGTAAGCATGCAAATTTATATACAAAATGTATATATTGACATATGTATGTACATATATGGTTCAATATTAGCATATGACTCTTCAAAAGCTGCACATTTCTTGGAACGCAAACAAAACAAAAAAAAATAGCGTAATAAAACATGAGGTTTCAGCTGAAAACTGATTACCATATATAAGTCTCGTCGATGCGAGTAGACGAGTGTACGAGGTTGCTCAAAAAATAATGATAACTTTTAAATATCGCTAACTTGAAGGGTCCTATCGTTGAACTTTTGTTTTATTGGTATTATGTTTGTATTTATAATCCTGCAGAGAACACTTTCAGCAGTATTTTGACTAAGGTTAGATGTGTTCATAAGCTCGCTGATTTTCGTTTGTTGAAAAAATATGCCACCCTTGCAATGTCATATCTTTAAACCCATGTTTTGTGCCCGGTTATAATAGGTTTCAGTAATTCTGCATCGTCATGACAAGATCCAATCGATTTAGCGATCATTCATAACCATTTCCTTTACACTAGTTACTTTTTCACCAGCTGTTCATGTGCTGTGGCACCAGCGCGTTTGCTATCTCCAACGTTTTCACTCTCAAAGCTCGGGAAATTTAAAAAACTACGTTACATTTTAAATAAACCTCGTATATAAAAATACAAAACTATACAATATGCATATATGCACAAATATTTGTACATACGTGTACATATATATAATGTATTTGTATATGCACTTTTGTTAATGCTTTTATTCTCTTAATTTGAAAATCCACCTACAACAACAATTAAAAACGTGACAACTTTTGTACAACAAATACAAACGACGATATAAATCTGTTCTAGGGAGAAAAAGCTTCTTCATTGAAATAAAAATTTGCCTACACTTCGTAACAAAAATAATTATTTTCACGTTATTTCGTTGTGTTAAACAAAAGTGTGAGAGCCAGTTTAAATGATTTGAAGTTTGATGAGCCCAATGGTGCCACTATAGTTGCAATGATTTTTCCCCTCCTAATTTCAAAGCCTTCATATATTAAAATAAGTAAAAGTCAGAATATGTATATGGATATTTTTTATTTTATCATATAAATGGAGGGAACTAAATTTTATTCTAAGCCACCTCCGAACGCCTTGCTTATTATTAGAAAAATTTATTTTCTATAAATTTTGGAAGTCGGTCGAACCAGGAATCAAACCCTGGCCATCCGAATGTTAGTTAGTGCACAATGCTAACCACTCGGCTGCAGCAGCCGCATATTCTTATGTACATGCATATATAATATACAATATATATATATATATATATATATATATGTTCATATTATATAATGTGATACAGTCGACTCTCGTTAATTCAAACCTGCGATAATTTGCTTTTCTCTATAATTCAAAGTCATAGCTAGTTCCCTAGAAATCACGTGCTAATTCGAAGCAAAAAATCATCCCCCGTTAAACACTTGACAATTCCTTAATGATAAGTTACTTAATTCTCTTATAAGCAATACCCAGTAATTGAAGAGTAGCTCAAAGATTTCAAAAAGAGAAGTGGTATTGTGTTTAAATAGTTTGTAGGAAATTCGAAGACTTATTGGGTTAACAGTGTAGATGCTTGTAACTATATATTTATATTAATTAATAAAGCTCTATATATTTATTTTTATTAAAACTTCAATGTTTTATTTAAAAAAAAAAAAAATTTACTTCATAAAAGCCTTTGGTTGAACATGAAAATTATAGTATTTCAAAAGATGAAAATATTTGAAATCCAAAAATGAAAGTAGCATAAAAATTGAAAAGTTGAAAAAAAAAACCAATTTAAGATTTTGATTGAAAACTATGATTCCGATACGTTTTTAAAAATGGATTATTTTTTAAAAGTAAAAGAAATTGACAGCTTTACTTGCAATGAATATGGACGGATCGGAAAAACTTAAGCTTTTATTAATGCATAAACAATGAATCCGCATGAAAAATAAATGGGCGACGACAAAATTTTTAGCAATTATAAAGGCAAGTTAATGGACACATAAATCGATAAAAAGAAAAATTTTACTCATTTAAGACCATTGCATTGTCCACAACAGTCCTCATACAAATTGCAACCATTCTAACGCCAAGTCATTTATAGCTGCGAACGGTTCTGATGACTATTTTATTAATTGATTAGGCATGGAGAACTGTAACCCACCTAACGATTCTTAACTGCCTCAATAATCTGGAAGATGAAGCTATTGTTGTCTTTTTCTCTTAAAGTTAGGCTCCCCTCAAGAATATTTCAAAAAAAAAACGAAATTTTTTCCTCTAAATTACTAGAAAATACTCCAGAAATAATATAGAATTTGTCCCGAAAGTCCGCAAGACTAAAAAGTAAAGAAAGAATAGAGGAGAGCGGAGCGCGCCAAGGTGTAAATCTGGCCGCTCGAGTATTTTAATCGCCTTTGTCTCGAAACCACGTTTTTTCAGCTGGGTGACACTCTTATTTAGAATCTATTAAACTTATCAACATGAACTAAACGTCATTTAACTCCTAAAATGTGTATCTATGGTCGGTACTACAACCAAAATTATTCATTCTCATTTTAAAAATGTATATACAATTTAAACTGAATAACTTAAAAAGTCTGCCATTTTTTTGGTGAAAAATTTTATATTATAGTTCCGGCCGTAGCAATGTGATACAGAATAAGAAACCGTTTTGGGTTTTACTTTCGGATGATACGTTTTACAGTTATCGTGTCACTCACCAACAAAAATGTGTTTCAGCAGCAATTTTAAGAACCGCAATTGAAAAAGAATACAAAATTTTAATTAATATTTTTCGACCTCTACTTATGTATCTACAAAAACTTTGATTTATAAATATTTTTTTTTAATAATAGGTAATTTATTGGAAAAGACGTGGTTTTTGGAGGAACCTGACCTTAAAAAGTTGTTGAGCATTCTGCGCAGCAGTAATGCACTTTGAAGCAAACCAAAATCTTTCGAATATTTAATAAGTCCACATTATGACTATGTACACATATGAACAGTACCATACCTTTGCAAGCGTGCCAATTATTAAATCATAATCGAATATAAAAAAATGCCGTACCATTTAATATTATCAATCATTATACAGTAATTTAAAGGTAGTCTCGTTCTCTCTTTGCAGTCGCCCTCGCAGCTATCCGACATTAAACGTGTTACGTCTTTTACGTGCGACAAAGTCCATTCTTTTCATTGAAATACGATTAACCTCTCTTAATAAGTAACTATCTAAATAATCAATATTTCAGCTGATGAATTTGTTTGTCTGTAGCTGAGCACTTTTAAGTCTCAACGCTTAACAAACTCTTGCTTTTTATGATTCGGCAAATTCCGTACGTCATATGGATGGCGCCTCTCGTGCCCTTTGTGTGGAAGGATGTGACCTTTGGCCTTATTATTATTATTGTTATTAACTCGTTCACTGATCCACTTCTCCGAAAGAATAGATTCTACATATTGACCTATAAAAATCCTACCTCTGAAACAAATTTTGTGTAAATCAAACGATTTAAAAAAAAATTTAATTTCCTGTACCAGGTGCATTTCCGAGAGAATTATTTATTATCGCATACCTACATCTTGCGCAGAACACATCCTACAAGTAAGGGGTATCTATGTATGTATGATCAGTGGTTTAGGTTGCATGTTGATCCCTCAAAAGAAAAGAGAAATTAATTAACCTGAGCTCGTTAATTAGCTTTAACTGCTTACAACCTTAGTACATTGACAACATATGTATGGTCATAAATATGTATGTATATAAAGATATATAAATAAATTATACATATGTAATAAATAAATAAAAAAAAAAATCCCATGGAGCGTGCTTTGAATGTGACAACATAATATTACTGTCACCAGACACATTTAGTGTCAAAAACTTCGAGATGCAGTATATACAATACATATACATGTATGTGCCTAATAGACGAATTTGTAATACGTAATGTTACTCATACGCCCTGACGAACTACTGCCCTTATGAATGATCTGGGTAAGCTTCTGCTCCGCTGGCAGCTCTCCAACCTAATTTCTTCATTTTCCAATAATATATGCAATGAAAAATTTGTAAACTCGCGTCACCAAGCTAATCTATTTTAATTGTACAGTTAAGATCAGAAAATAAACTTACATCTGAGCTCGGGTTTCTGATAATGTTAGTTCTCCCTCTTTTTTTCAAGTATTTTATTTTTATTTTATTTGGCTTTAACTAAATAGGGGGCGTGCTAATTTTTTCTGCCACCACCATGATAGTTACAATTCGAAACAAAAAAATCCGAAATCAAGATTGTAGGTGTATGTGCTAGTTAAATTTTAATACTCACGTCTTATCAACTATGTGACATTACTCGTCAAGATATCTAGAATTTAAATAACTTAACGTCTACAATTTTAAATTTGTTCCACTGATAAAGCCAGCAAACGAAATTCACATAAATCACACTAATAAAACAAAATTAAGTACAAAAAAATACGAAACAAAATTATTAAATTATCAAATGAAACGATCGCAAAAATAAAATAAAAATTAATATTCTAAACCAAAAATGAATTCCACCGAGCGTCTCGAGGCAACAGTCAGTTCGAAATTCAATGACTATGGCAGCACAACGTTAAAAAATCGTTCTTCCACAACAACTAACGGACACGACTTAACGACGGCAGCGGCAGCAGAAATAGACATTGCCGCACAACAAGCGATTGCTGCGGAATCAAGTCAAACAACCGACGTTCACCTCGACAGTGATCACTCGGTTGAGTATCATTATTCCAGTGATAGTATTGCAGCAAGTGGCAACAACAACGACATCGCCTATCAGAGCTTGCCAAATCCGATAACCACTTATACGTCAAGTCTTTTCGCGGCCGCGTGCAGTACTTCCTCAGCGGCGCGTTTTCAAACACAGCATTCGCGTTATTCACGTTACGCCTACAGCAAAATGGAAACATATATCGATGAGAAACCCGTCGCCAAAAAGTCGATTTGGGAAACACCGTGCTTTCAATGTTTGGAAACTATCCTTTTTGTATTGAATCAAATGTGCATCGGTTTCGTGACCATCTACATGAGTTGGCTGTGCATAAATAATGGTTTGCAGAAGACATCGCTACATGCGTGGCTGGTGACACTAGGTGTAAGTGAAGAAAATTATTACGGTTAATCAAAGAAAGTTTAATGTCAAACAGAACATTATTAAGTGCAAATTTAAAATCATTTCCCTAACTATATAAGTATGACCTATGGTTCAATGCGTCAAAAGTATTATATTCTTTCATCTACAGAAAGCGGAAACCATTAATTAAAGTTGAATTTTTTCCTATTTCAAAATTAAAAAAAAATTGGCAATCAACTTTTCATGTGATTAGTGTGCTAAAGTGCTTGTATAAACAATTGTTAAGATAAAGAATTATAGTGAAAACTGAGACAAATAATATGTTAATTGCTGTAATAATATGTAATTAAAAAAACGTTTTGTTTTCACAGAAATTTAGCTTAATCTCAGTACTAAAGTGTTTGTTATTTGTTTTTCAATTGACAAGTTTATTGTAAATATAGTAGGTTTCAAACCAGTCCTTAATGAGTTTTCGTGTAGTGATAAAAGAATAAAATACTTTGGGATCCTTATGCGGCTTCATCGCTGTGCTCTTTTGCATACTGTTTCGATTTACACTTTTCTTTATCCATGAGGAAGATACAATATGTATTTTTCAAATGCACTTAAAGTACGCTTAATAAATTTTTATAATAAATTATTTTTCTCTTCGAAGGATTATTCATACACATTCTTCTCAATCAAAATAATAGTATATACAGTAGGACCGTTCATTATACTCGTACTAATACTGAAATCACATTTTTAATTTGAAATCGATGAACTATGAATAGGCGGATAACACAAAACCACCCTAACAATGAATAAAATGATGTTCGCCTTGCAGAAGAACAAAATAAAATTCACATCTTCAAAACAACTTTTATTCCAGAATCTGCCTGTTATCGTATGTTTTACGTTTCCTATTAATTGGAATCAAATTTGAAAACAAAAAATAATACGTGTGTTTACCTTGTTTTTTTGTTGTTTTTTTTTTTTTCAAAAATACATACTGTAGATTATAAACTCAAATGAGAGCAATTAATAAAATCTTTGTCTCTCCAGTATGTTTATTAAAGTAAAAAAATGTTTCTCTTACCATAAAAGCTAGAGAATTAGTAGATTAGAATAACAAACAAAATTTAATCAAAACAAAGCAACAACAAAAATTAAATTTAGATTAATAAAATTTAATATTTGGTCGGTTTGACACAGATTGCCGTTGGCTATTCATCCCTCATCAGCGGGATCGTTTTTTTTTCAGGAATCGTACTGTTTCCTCAAAAATATTGTGATCTATGCGTTGACTAAATTTTATTATGTTTGTTTAAATTTAAAAATATAAAATTTACTATAATTTTAGTTCCTTACAAATAGTAGGAAAAGCGTAAGAAATATCAGTCTTAAAATAAAATAACAAAAGAGCGTCAAAAAAATTGAACAAAATGTAATCGTTAATAGTTTTTTTTGATATTGGAGTTTGAAAGCAACAATGTTAGTAACTATATAAAACTATTTAGTTTTTTTCACTAAGTTTGATTTCGTTTTTGACTATTATTGAAGCAAAAGATAATTTTTAAGCCAAAATAACAATGAAATAATACTAATAAGGAACTAATATATTACATATATTTTTTTAATGTCTTTGATTGTTAAAAGATATTTTCTTCTTATTAGTAAGAGGGAGAGTACTAATAAGATCAAAATTTCATTAACAATTTTAAAAAAGTTACTTACACAATATATTTTACTCGCAATTTCAAATGTACATTTATAGAAATTGGTTGTTTAGATAAAAATATGTAAATGGAATAAATCCTCTTACAAAAGCCGCCCACTTTCTTGCAAAATATATTCCATACAAATTTCAAGCAAACACAAGCTTACCCTGCACCAATAAACGTAATATATATCGTATGAAGTAATAAATTAAGGAAATGCCTGAAAGTATGCAACATATCACACCATAAGCTTAATTCACATTATCAACTGCGAAAATGTGCTTTCAACTAATCATTTCTGTTCGCCTAGTATTCACTGCTGATGGCCGAAGCGGTAATGGTTCACTACAACGCCAACCCGTTGACGTCAGACTATAAACGACACGAAAAGCACACGATACACTGGGTGCTGCAATTGGCGGGTGGTAGCCTGGGCATGGGCGGTACGTTATACAAATGCATACAGAAGGGATTTCTGCTTACGAGTACGCACGGCAAGCTGGGTAAGTTAGCATAAAATGAAAATGAAAATAGATTCATAAAAACTGAAAAAAATTATTTCAAAATATTATTTTATTGATATTTGATTTCTTTATTTAATATTTAAAATATTTAACAATTAAATTAAAATAATTATTTTAATTTGATATTCGGTTTTACTTTATTATTATAGATATTCTTTTTATTTTTAATAAATATCAAAAGCCTAGATTTATTTATTTTGTATTTTTTCTTTTTATTTCCCCTCACTTCTCACCCTACAGGTTTTGCTACATTCATTCTCTGCTTGGTATCCTGGCTAAGCGGTTTGACTGCTCTTTATCAACTTAAATTGAAACATTACGTCCGCCCATTATTAAATCGCACATTCCATAATTTGATTGGACTTGCAACCTTTGTTCTGGCGCTTCTAAGTCAATATTACGGCTATGAGACGAATTTCTTCAAGACTCGCACTGCTTTGCAACCAACCCTTCGAGATTGTATGAAGACGATTACGATTTTGTCACTGATACTAAGTTGTATTGGTCCATTAAAAGCTTTGCTGCAAAAAATTCGTATACTTCTAAGAGATTGATTGTCGATAAAAAATAAAATAACATAAAAGAATTAATAAATTGTAAATACTCGCAGAAAATTAACATATATGCATGTACATACATATACACAAATCTATATTTATATTAAAATAATTGTATTCTTGAAATCATAATGTCATATTAATTATAAGCCGAATATGTTCCATTCCAAAGATTTTAATAAATCTTAAAATATTATAAAAAATGCATATATAAACACTTCAAGCAAATATTAGCCTGTGAACGCGCGATTATCACTTCAATCGAACCATTATATTCCATATATATATATATATATATATATATGGAATATAATGCGCGTTGCGTAAAATATTTGAATTCGTACGTTAATAATCCAATATTCAGCGCATTGTTGCTTATATTCGGTCCTAATTGGAACAAAAATTTATCGATAATGGGGCCTTTCGGCTGGAATTTTTTTGAGCCACTTGCCCGAAATTTATTTTTAAAACATAATGGTAAACTCTTATCTATAAAAGGCTTTGTCTGTTCAAGCTCTGTATATCTCGAAACGTTACTAACCAATTAGCTTCAAATTTCTTCAGATTGATTCTATGGTTTCTGAAAAGATTTTTTTATGAGAAAGGATCAGGGAATGCGAAAAATTCTTATCTATTTATCGTTTTATTTGATCGGTGGATTTTTGCTTAGATTAGCAGGGAGGCCATTTTTCCACTCCGGGAAGTGAATAAGAGACTGACCTATTCCTAAAAATCGTATTCATGGTTCGATTTACTTGAAATTCGACCTATTAATATATAAAAATTAACGTATTGATTAATTTAATTTTTGGAAGATATGCCTAAAGTAATACGTTTGAACCAAGTTCGATTAATACTTCGAAATACTTTCATTACGGGAAGAGAATCCCGACAGATTGACTAAAATTAGTATGTTTTGTACATGAGCATAGATCGGGCGCAGGTATGGTCGCTTCCCATTTTTAATATTCTGATGCTTCGGATTATAACCTATTTTTATACGTTCAACTTTAATGTTCATAAGCACAAATCCGAAAGATGTGTTTGTCTTACTTCAAGTCATTTATGTTGACACTTTATTAAGTTGACTTGAGAGAACATCCACTGGAGCTGTTTAATGTTATGAAATGTAAATAGAAAACATTTTAGGCATGTCAGAGCATCACATGAGAAAGTACGAGATTCAATGCGACTCACTGATCAAATGCATCTATAGTGGAGTGAAATAGTTTATGAACGTCTATAGATAGAAATTCACGCAAATGAGGAAGGTTTGACTGCCATTTACTAGGAAGGACAGAAACGATATTTTTGCAAATGGTTCAAGTTGTTCACGACTTACAAGTATCCTATGGGCAGCCAACAAACATCCGTTTGGAAGTGAGCTGAAGTGAGAAGGTGAGTCCTCTTCAGAAAAAAATGTAAACAGGCTCGGATAAGACTCTATTTTAATAACAACCCCCTCAAAATTTTTTAAGGGTGACGATTTGAGGGCATCCACTTGGAATTTTCGGCCTTTCAATTGGAAAGGTGCAGCTGCACAGCTGGTTGATATCATCGTAATTCTGGACTGGACTAAAACTGGACATCACAACCTACATAGAAGATCAATGGACGGGACAAGCACGGAAGAAGGAAGGAGCAAGGGCCCTTTGGTGAAAGCCAACGTTTGGTGTTAGATTTATGGACTCCGTTGTCGAGTACTGGCAATCACTCCGGTTGATAAACGTCTAGCCCACGCACTGACTGATGAGAAGTACGATGTGTATAAAAACGGTGCCTATGATCATGGTGGTGAGGGTGATTTGACATCAAAAACTGTAATCACAACAGACAGCCAACACTCCAGCATTCTGAGAGCACTTGTCAGCAACTCAATACAAGGGAACTGTGGAACGGTATCTCAAACTCTCTACGTACCGTCGCTAAAGATCTGGTCCGATAAGATAATCTGATAACCAATGATCAGGGTATATGTGTATGGAAGGACCACTTATCTAACCTGCTAAATGGCATTGAACACCCGGATATGGTTCCAAAACCCAACTTTGGCAGCCTCGAATAGCGATTGTCTGCTTAAGGAATAACATAGCTGCTAGAGCCGATAGTCGAAGGAATACATTTTTGACGATTTGATCGTAGGTCTGCCCACTTCTTAAAAACGGGAACCTCTACTCCGCTATGTCTGAATTTGGTGTCCCCGGAAGCTAACCTTTCCGAACCTTTTGACACCAAACGATATTCCAATAAGGTAATTACATATCGTATGACTTCTATAATATATTGTTCGAGAAAATAATACGAGCCGCAGAACTTGATAGAGAAGGTACAATCTTCTATAAGAGTGTACAGCTTCTAGAATACACCAATGATAATTGGTTTCAACAACAACGCCGTGAGTTCTGCTTTCTCCAGACTGGATAAGGAAGTGAAGCATATGGGTCTGGGAGCTCCCACATCGCTAATAACAGTCATAACTAAAGTCGTAGATAGATTCGTCTATCTTGAGACCGCTGGATTGGGTGCAGTTGGTATTGGTTGGTGGCGATGTTGTAGATATAGGCAGACTCCCATAGCATGGGACAATGTACGCATAACTTCACTCTTGTGTGGTGCGCAGGCCAGACCACGCCCAAAATTGGCACCAGTTTGAGCAGGAATTGCTTCTGACTGATTTCATGTTCCGACGAACTATGTTCTGACACACGGAGCAGGCTGTTCGGGGACTACGGGCTGCTGGGTAGCTCTCGCACAGAAGAAGAAAGAGGAGCTGTATGTGGGTCTTAAGACCTGAACAGACTACAGCCATTGCACTGGTTGCATCTAGCCGAAACGGAGGAATGGTGGAGTCTTTTGCGACAAATGCAGCAGAAATAATCCATCGGACCAGAATTGGTTTCGATGCCAGCCAGTCATCGTTATTATTTTGCTCCCAATGTTGAAACCGGAACAACTTGGTCTTGAACCTTAACTATTGACAAATGTTTTTGTCTTTTTTATCTTTTTGCAGTTGAGTCGTTACGAAGTAGCACCCTAATATATATATATTTGGAATTTCTGAAAAAACACAAATCTTGTGATGTAGTATGTATGAAGTCATATGTAAGTAAAATAGCTACATTCTTCAACTTACAACAACTGTTAGCAACGGGTTTCATTCAGATGAAATCAGTTTAAAGATCTCAACTCTGATTGAAGTACGTCATTGACACCACCATTCACTTCATTCATAGTACATATGTACGAGTACGAGTATTTACATACATATTATATGTATATAGAACAAATCAGCAGGCGCAACCGAGGAGTTTAATTAAACAACGGTAAAAAAGGTGCAACCGCCGATAAGAACTGGTAGGCAAAACAATCACACTTGCAATATACCAAAAGCTACGGGGACAACATGCTGATAAAGGCGCTGAGAAGAATAGATAAAAGTCTAAAACAAGCGCTTATTAATCACGAGCCAAAGAAAAGTGGCTGGTGGAGTAGAGAAATCAGCAACTTACTGTGATCAAGATCACCGTGGCGTATGGAAAATGATATTTAGGATCGAGTAAAATTATTGCAAAAATAGTAATGAGCGAGCGAGGGTGTGTTTAGGCAGAGCGGAATTCAGCAATTTATCAAATAAATACTTCTTAGATTCAAGAATGACACGTCGCGGCAAATTTGTTGTGAATAAAACGAGAGATGCAAGAATAAACTTCATTAGCGACGCATACACAACGCAACAATCAGCGCCGCAACGACACGACTGCCAAAATATAAACAGCCCAGCGCCGCCGCAAATAAGCTGCAGCACACGGCGTTTGGCACAGCATCAACCAACGCCACAACCAATACTTACGTTTGCGCAGAAGCTCGAGTTCGTACTGACGCTCATTAATCGAATGCTTATCGGTTTCATAACAATATACTTGTGTTGGATGAGCTTACGCTTGGATCGTGCGGATATTCCATGGCATGCGGTGTTATGTACACTAGGGGTAACGAGAGAAAAAAAGAAGCATTTTTAATATATTAAGAAATTTAAAAATTTTCAAACTCACTTCAACTAGTTTCTCGTCTTGATGTCCGAAGGTCTGATGGCCTACTACCGTGGCAATGTTTGGACCCAGGTTTGTCAACGCCCAGAAAAGGCACGTCTTCATTGGTTGCTGCAGTTGAGTGGCTCTATAATTGGTATAATTGGCATCATGATCAAAATTTGTTTGGAGGAAGTGCATTTTCACACAAGACACGGTATTATAGGTGAGTGCATATAAATGATATCTCAGTTAGTTAGGTGCTTCGCCGCTGGTCCACATTTAATATGATAACATGTTTCACCTTACATAAACAGAAAAGTGTTATCAAAAACCAAGTCAGGTGAATGTGGCAAGTAAACAATGGTAGAAAGATAGATAACATAGAGATATCCACTGTGACGGTGTTTTTATGTTGAACAGAGTAGCCAACTTCCATAGTCACTATTTCTCGTGATTTGACTGGCGGCTCCATATATAGTAGTTTGAGGGATTGTCAGAAATGCTTTGTGAATGATGCCTAAACTAAACTTAATTTTGACTCTCTGTTTAAATCTAATCATATCCGTGCCTATTACCTTTGGCGTAAAATATATTTTTTAAAACTAAAAATAATTTAGAAAACCTTAATACTAATTCTTATAGATAAAACATAAACATTAACAAAATAACCATTGTTGCGAGTGTTCCAATTTTTTGGATATCAGAGATCGAAGTAGATATTTACTATTTTAGCGACGTTCATGATGACAAATTTTCTTAGTATTTTACATGCAGTGTAGACCACATAATCGTTCAATATGAAATTTCATTGTGTATACACATGTAGTTTTAATTTACGATAAAAACCGAAAAGGATTAACTTACTTTTTTCTTTTCGTTGAAATCTCTTTTGGTATATCCTCAGTGCTTAGTCAGATTCATTCTCAGGTCAATATGCTTCCCTCCATTTCATATGCCCTCAGCTCGTAGAATGATTTTCCTACCACTTTCTTAAGGCCGAAATGATGCTTACATTTGTAAACGTGTACGTCATTCTCTCTTCGTTTACTTGTGCATTTTCCTCATTTTTGTCGGACAAGCAGAGCACAGCTGAGCGACAGCATTGATACCAAAAGAAAACATGGGCGTAAAACAACATCAACAGGGCCGTATAAGCTGAACACAGATGATCGACAGCATTGATGGCGAAGCAAATCAGCTTTGACAAAAATTTTCCCCTCATATTTTACATACGTACAAACATTTGAAGATTCAGTATTTCTTCCAATATTTTAAAATAGATTATTTGCATGGTTTATATAGCATACAAAGAAATAATAATACAACAATAAATTAATTTTCAAAAATCTGCAAAATATTCTAAGCAAAACCGTAGATGCAGGCTTTATGATTCAGCGTGTCGCGTCTTGGTGATTCAGCTCCTCAGCTCTACGAACGCCTCCATTATAATCACGACTCCTCCGGAACTTTGTGGAGCATGTTGGCGTCAAGTCTGGATAGATATAGTAGATAGTAGAAGTTTAACCTGCTACAGTATCTAGACCTAAGCCAGTATCAAGCGGGTCCCTCGAGGAAGCTTGAGCTCTTCTGCTATAGTTGGTGCTTTTAATCCGACTACGACATTAACGGGAAGGGAGCATCCCAGTAAGAATTGCTTGAACAACAAAGCATTTGCTCCTTACAAGCGATGCTCCAGCAACATCAGGAGGTTTCCTGTAGCGGTCCTAAGCCGGTGTTCTGGCAAGCCTGTAACTTCTTCATCGCAGATTTGCTAATGACCGGCCGATCGATTTCTAGTTAAGTTGTCAGCAAGGTTTTTGTTGCGGCTCTGGAGTTTTGCGGAAACTGCGGTTGTATGCGCAGTGAAGGCTGGTAGGCTGGCAGGCTGGCAAATGTCACTCCCAATATCTTTGGGTTATTTATGTTCGAAATTTTTACATCATCGACCTTAACTATTAGTTAGAGCCGAGGATTTGGTCTGGTGAATTTTGAGCTGTCGTTTAGCGAAGAAGTGGGGCACAAATATCCCGAACAGGCATATGAGTTCAAGGAAACCCCTTCTGTTGGAGAAGGGAGTTTCGAAATATAAAAAGTAAACAATAGTGAGGAGAAGACACCTAAACCCCTTGCTTACTCTTCCTTAGTTTCGGTGTTTCGCCTCGAAATTCGACCGATGATTGACGACCACACAGTTAGCCCATGATCCCCTTCAGCAACCCCGGCGGGGAGATAGCAGCATCATTAGTGCTCCTCCCAATTTTTACCCTTGTGGTTATTGGCTACTCGCTAATTGCTAGAAGCGCCGCTTCCATCGGGAAATTAGGGCGGAATGAACGCTCACCGGCAGTAACATATGATGGGTGGGGAGAGCACTAAAGGTTTTCTCGGCAAATTCTGTGAAACAGGGCAAATTAGCTTTTTTTAAGTTAACAAATGTTCGGTGATAGTCCACGGATATAAAGTCGGGAGGTCAGACGAGATTTGAACTCTCACAATATTTAGGCTAACAGGTAACAACGTACTAGTAAAACCCATCTTTGAAACGAAATTTCTGGGGGTAATTTTTGAGGCCAGAGTAAGGTGGGAAAGATACTCCCAAAATAATGCATTGGATGATTAGATGTATTGGAGACTAAAACCTATAATCACATATGGAACGATTGCGTCCGAAACGTCCTTTCAAAAATTAGAACGGCTAAGATGAAGAGAAGAAAACGCAAGATAGCTGAGGATCAGTCAGGCAAAATTTCGCCACTAACGCAAACAGAAATTCGCCAATATACCAATCCAAATATTCAGTGAATGCCAAATTTCATATGGAACAATTGCACCGTCTTTAAGGACTATATCGAAAAGGTCGGCCGAAATCCACTGATGACGTCACTGTTGCTTTGGCGAAGTCCAAAATTGACGAAGACCCAAGATTGACATAAGAAATGGTTGTTAATGAATGAGTCATGGCTGTACCGCGAATATTAAGTTACCATCTGGGATACACGAAGGAATCTGCACGATGGTTACCACGACTTTTAAATGAAGCCCAAAAAGAGTGCATTTTTCTCAATTTTTCGTAAATAACCTCGAAATTTTAGTAAAGTCGTTACTGGTTACGAATCATGTTTCTGTAAGTAAAATCCAGAAACTATACCGCAGGGCATGGTATGGAGCCCAACAGAAGCAAACCCACCCGTGGCATGTAAGCAACCAAAATCAGCAGCAAAAGTAATGATGTCAGTTTACTTCACCCTTTCTAAAATTGTAGCTGCTATTCCACTGGAAAAGGGTCAGACGATAACTGCCAAATTGTATAACATAGAGTGCTTACCAAAAGTTTTAAAAATTTAGTTGGAAAACAAGAAGAAAGAGGATTTGGGTCGGAAAAAAATACGTCCAAAGCCATATTCCCCGCATTTAGCACCTTTTTATTTCAAAAAATTTAAAAAATATAAAATCAAAGGTCTTTAAAGAGGAGATAATTAATGCGGTTAATGTTCAACTTGATAAGATTAAACAGAAAGATTTTGAAGACTGTTTTCAGAAGTAGTTCTATAGGCTTGAGAAATGCATGTATGTATGTATAGAAGATAAAAAAGGACAAAGATCACGAATAAATACAAAAAGGATTTTTTTATTTTTTTCTGGTACATACTATTATACATATTAAATATATTAGCTCAAGTAAAAGGGCGTCCATTATTTTTGCAGTAGATGGGATTTGATAATATGTACCTCTTGCTCTATAAGTGCGATTAGATTACGCTAGATGGTGTTGGAAAGATATTTTGTACTAAAGAAATAACTGGACTTAACTCAGTAGGCCTATTGTCGTGAATGCTTCGAATGGCCAAGAACTATACATTGCGTAAAAAACAATTTGCAACCACTTGAAAAGGCTGGATACAGAAAGAAGCTCGATGTGAGGATGCCACTTGAGTTAACGAAAAAATACCTCATGGACCGAATTTTCATCTGCTGAATCATAAACAAAATCGACCCACTTCTGAAGCGGATGGTGACTTGCTGCGGCGAGAGTTGCCGAAAGACAGTGAACCTATATAAACAGTCTCCAAGCCATGTTTTACAGCCACGTAGGTTTTGTTGTGTAATTGGTGGTTTGGCAAGGAATCATCCACTATGAGCTGCTTCCCTACGGTAACGGCAGACCACACACATCGATAGTGGCTCGCCAGAAAAGCCGAGAGCTTGGTTAGGAGGTTCTTATACATCCACCTTGTAGTACCACCTTGCTTTCAATTAGAGAGGCATAGGCATAATGGCATTTGCTCTGTTTAGTGACCTGATGGGCAGTAACAATTGTTACTAAAATAAATACTGTATCGTGTTCGTGTTCATACCTTTTGAATAGCAAAGAGTTATCGAGCAAAACGGTGCATATATGACATAAACCGGATAATTCTAACACTGACAAATAAAGCAAATTAGATAATGCAAAAGCAATAGATGACTTGTTACTTGATCTTATATTATCTTAAGCCAATAATGCGTAACTCCATTCCAGAACAGATACCTTTTAAATTTTTCTCCTGTTTTGAGGTACGTTTCTATAATATACAGCTGAATTACAATAGCATCTTTGGGAAAAATATAGTTCTTTTGTTATTCTAAATTAAAGAATGGTAAGTTAAAAACTAATACATATCAACTTGAGAACTATGAATTCCTTAGAGGGTGGAGAAATGTTATATCCATATTTCTTTTGTTGTTTTACAGTAATTTTAGAATAAAAATTTTATATTAATTTTAAGTTTAAAATGCATACATGTATGTACTTTCATTTCTAGGTCTCGCAACAATGATTATTTTATTCATCAGCCTATTAAGCGGTCTAAGCTCACTATACGCCACAGAACTAAAGAGTCGTCTGCAGCCGCGTTTTAATAAAACTTCCCACAATATTATTGGTCTAATAACTTTCACCTTATCTATGGCCAGTATGTATTACTCTTTTGAGACCCAACTTTTCAACGACTTCTCATTGGATGCATCGACTTATCTGGATTTCCGTTTACTTTTGGAAATTACAACAATAATAATATTTGTGCTGACTGCTTATGGACCGGTGTGGTGTTTACTTTATAGTCGTATATGAAATGTGAATTGAAAGGACAAAAAACAAAAATAAAAAATAAAGAAAAACAACAGAAAATTTTAAAATAATTTATGAATTAAGAAAAAAGTATGTAGTACTAGAATATATTAGCAAGTTTACACGCTGAATGGATTTTAAGTACCCTTGCCCTTTAAGAATTAAAAACATTTCTTTTCTTTTTGCTTTATTTTGCAAATATCATTTTTGTGCATTTTTATTTAATTAATTTTTCAAATTGATTTGCATATTTTGTAAAATATTACTGTAAGTGTGTAGTATATGTGCGGAGGTTGTGACAAATAATACCTTTCCTTGCGAGACGCAAGATTAATTAATACGAATCATTTAAATAATGCAGTATTACATATGCACATACATATGTATCTATGCAACTAAATTAATATCACTTATGTGTTAAATTGTATAAAAGAAAACATAAATTCATATGTGTAAAAATAATCGAGTTTGTTTATGAAAATTCAGTAAGTATTCATGTATGTGATGCCATGGGTTTTCGCAATGCAAATATTTTTTTTATTAATTAATTTAAAAAGAAAAACAGTTATACGTATATACTATGTATGAACGCCAGTTTTATATAAAGCACTCGAAGGCATTTAGTCAGTATTAGTCTAAGTGTTGCTTTTTTTTTGTTTGCCACAAATCTTTGCAGTTCATGATGAAATGATTTACTTCGCTTGCTAGCCAAATGTCTAACGATGGTTTAATATTTTTTTTTTTTTTTTAATTTTTAGAGTTTGCGATTGTGTTGTATTTGCATAGATACGAACATTTGAATAAAAATGTAAATGTACTTAAGGCTATTTTTTGAGTTCAATATATATATAATATATAAATTATGAGATAAGAAATCAAGTTAAAAAATTTAAAGAAAATGTTTATTATAATAAACTGCTCAAAAATGCTTAAAAAAAATTAATTATTACTTTTTACTTTTACTTTTACAGATTTTTCGATTACCGCTTCTTCTAAAAACTAAAGTTCGAAACAATTAAGTCCTTCTACATTTCATAACGTCAGCTTAAATTTATATTCTTTAGGCAGTGCTAAACAAAAGTATTTAAGTACGTAAAAATCATATGAATAAAATATGGTCATTTGTTTTACACATATATTCAAAGCAACGAGTGCGTTTAAGGTAAAAATTTAGTACAATTTCGTGTAGCTAAAATTCTTCGATTTTCATTTGCCAAATATGTAAAATACTAATATTTAACAATGTTCAAATTTTGTTTTTCATGTACTGACCCGAGCTCAATTGATATAATAAAGTATAAATACTGCAATTTTTATAATATTTTGTTAAAAAATATTTTTTTATTCTAACAAATACAACACAATCCTCTCTGTATATGTATGTATTGTATATAAATATATTTATTATGCGCTTAATTTCCGCTTTACAATTTGGTAGTCCGCTTCGTAGCAAAGGAAACCGAGAAGGACTCAATATAACGTCGCAATGAAGGCACACCGCCAAAACTGCCGCCATCATCAGTGCCATAATTGCGACCACGCTTCCCATTACCATCAACGCTAACCTCCGCGCCGCAACAGTCTTCACCATTGCAATAACGACAAGGTTTAGTTGTGAAATAATTAATTTCGCCCGCTACCTCATCATCATCATCCAAGGCGTCGGTTACTTCATATTCCTCAGCATAAATTTTACTACGTTGCTCATAACGCAAGTAAAGAGTCAAACAGACGAAGAGCACAAATAGCAATGCACAAATGGCGCCACTTGCAATACTCGCCTCCTCCAACATTGGACGTGGACGTTTCGGCAAGAAGGATGCATCATATTCCTTGTACTCACAGCGAGGACCCATGAAACCATTGGCGCATTCGCAATTGTACATCACCGAATCACCCAATTTGACAGAAAAACAGGTGGCATCATTCAAGCAGTACCAGGCATCATAGTTCACTGGACATTTGTAAGTCGGAAAGGTAATATTCGGTCGAGGTGTGGTTGTGGTTGTCGTTGTCGGCTCTGTAGTTGTAGTGGTGCTGGTGGTAGTTGTTGTGGTTGTAGTAGATTTTTGTGGCGAGATCGATGAGGCAGCCGACGAGATTGAACGTGGCTTCGGTACGGAACGACTAGAGCACGCTTTAACTGCAGAAGGCTGTTGCAAAAGGCAAGACAACAGTAGAGTTATGCTGCAGAGGCTAAAAAGTAGCGTGCATTTGCGCTTGAGTAAAGGCATTATTGTAATTTGCGAGTGTACGAGTTTGCTTAAATGAAATACTATTATCTGAGTAATAAATATATGTATATATCTACGATACTTGAGTGAGATATATAATAGATAAATAAAGTCGAGTGTGTGAGCGTAGAATGCGTGAGTGAAAGAGTAGTTGCTATCTGTTGTAGTCTTCACCTCACGAAATACTGTTTCTTGGAATGATAGATATTTGCAGTAAAGTCAATTGAAGAATAGTGCTTTTAAATTATAAGTATATATATAAATATATATATTTTGTAAATTATATTAAAATAACTTAAATATATTTAGATCTTCTTTATGCGATTATATATTGTGTTAATTAATTAAAATTTAAGATCTTTGATTTCAGTTGCTTCTTTAACGAGGTTTGTATTAGTTGTTTTACATGTATTAACAGCAAACATGACAAGGACAAAACAATTAATACATGTTAAGGATTTTCAAAGCTAAATCTGTTACAATTATTATTTTTGGTTTAAAGTTTTATACTTTTCTATGTAAATATGTAGTACAACTATGACATTTGACTTTGTTAAAAAATTACATAAGTTTCTACTTCTATCACAATTATCGCATGGATATGATGCAATTTAAGACGGAATTTTCATACAAACAATAATTTCATCAATAACTCAATATAATCTATACGAGATAAACGGTTTACCTAGGAATATTGTAAAAACAAAATAAACATTAACATTTATTAAAAATTCGTTGTTGTAGCTTTTTGAAAAAAATCAGCTTTGTTGAAGAATCTGCTTCGTTTTCGTTGCGCACCTGTGAAAATAAGAAGAAAGGAATTACATTTTTTAAGCTATCTGTTACCAATATAAAAAGAAGAAGAATAACATGATAAGTGATATAAACCGAAAATTCAATATGAATTGAAATATGTGACATCGATTTAAAAAAGTAGAAAAAAAATTAAATATTTAAGTTAAAATTTAAATGAAAAATTCAAAGCGAAGAAAGATTAAAAAATAATTAACAGGCAGCGTTATTAAAAAATTAAAATTAATAATTATAGCAATTTTAAAATTATGTGTCGTAAGAAAACCGTAAAAAACAGAAAATTTCGAAACTTAAAAATTATGATATATAAAAAATAAATAAAAAAAAAATATAAGTATAAAACTTAAACAGCTGAAAAAATAAACAAATGTATAAAAATTTAACAAAAAAAATATTTGAAAAGAGGCGAATTGATTTGATTAAGAAATCGAATCAAATAAAAACAAAATATAAATCGATTAAAATAGAAACAAAATTAAAGTGATAAAATCACATATATAATATTACATAATAAAAAAATATATATATACAATTAGAAAAGGTGAGCATATGAAAAAAGAACAGAAAATTAGACTTAAAAATTTACGAATTAAAATATAAAATCTAATCTAAACAAATGAAAATAAACATAAATGGAAATCGAATAAAACGTATAAATATACAAAAATAAATACATAAAACTCAAAATTAAAATAAATAAATAAAATATATTTCCAGAATAAAAAAATTATAACTAAATTTAATAAAATTGAACAATTAAAAATAATTTATATTAAAATAAAATTAATTTATTATCATGATTTTAGAACTTACTTTAAAGCCTAAGCGCGGTACGAAATTTCTATTTTGAATAGTTTTTTTGAAATGTCATTCGAAATGAGAACGAAATACACCTTTTATAGGTAATAATAATAATTGTCACAATCATGTGAATTAAGCAATTGTTGTCTTATTATTACGATTGAATTACAATGTTACAAAATAAAATAGTATTTAAGCACCAACGATGTCAGGGGCTCTAAAATAATCACACAATCGCAATTTTGTCTTACTTAGCATGTACTTTTTGCATTGTATAAATCATGTTCTGAGAAATTTAAATGCGTCATACCTAAGCAAAAAATAGAAAATCCCACAATTACGCTATTTGGTGAAAATAGCGAAAGTTCAATTAATGAACTGCCTACAAGTGTAATAAACATTACATATATACTCGGCGCAAAGGCATAGTGCGAGAATTCCGTTGGCCCCACTACCGGCATATATTCAAGCGAATTCGCGGTGAGTAATAAGTGACGTGGAAAATAATTTAAATCTTAGCTCACGTGCGACAAAGCACAAGAACAAGTGCAGTATAATGAAACTTAATGTGGTTAATTATAAAACACCATTTTCGATGACTGCAAAAATGAATCAATGGAGCAGAAGAAATTAAATTGTTTATTCTATTTCATACGTATAGACTCACTCACAACGTTATACATATATCATTAATAAATAAAAATGTAAAAAAATACAAAAAGCAAATGAACGAAAGTTATAACGAGCCGAACACATAGTGATCGAAGTTGTATTTTTCTATGCAGGTTAACAATTTATTTTTAATTTCAATTTATTAAACTAGTGTAAAAGTTTTTGACTTTATAATGTTATGATGTATTTTGACGTCTTGTGGGCCCCCTAACTACATCTTTTCTTTTTAGTTTACTTAGTAATTATTTTTATTAACGTTTATTCGTTTCTATTTATATATTTGCTTTTACTTCCTTTTTTTACTTTTACTTTATTTATATTTTCACTTTGTTTTCATTTATTTTTTATTTAAATTTTATTTTATTTTTAATTTTTTTACAATTTTTTTTAATATATTTTTTAATTTTTTTTACCATTTTTTATTTATCTTTTTAGTATAATTTTTGATTTATTTTTTTACTATATTTTTTGATTTATTTTTTTTTTTAAACTATTTGTATACTATATTTTTATTTATCTTTTAAATTATTTCTATTAGTTTCTACTTCATTTTTCTTAACATTTTACTTTATATTTATTTATTTCTTATTTTATTTTTATTTATTTCTTATTTTATTTTTAGTTATTTCTTATTTTATTTTTAGTTATTTCTTATTTTATTTTTATTTAGCCTCTACTTTATTTTTATAAACTCCTAACTTTGTCTTTTACTTTACTTTTATTTATTTTTTATTTTATATTTATTAATATTTCAGTTCATATTTATTAATATTTTACTTTATATTTATGAACATTTGAATTTATATTTATTAACATTTTATTTTTATTCATATTTTACTTTATTTTCATTATTTTTTATTTTGTTTTATTTTTATTTATTTTTTAATTTGTTTTATTTTTTATTTATTTTTTACTTTGTCTTATTTTTATTTATTTTTAACTCTATTTTTATTTTTTTATCTTAAATATATATAATTGGCGCCTTGTAACCGGTGTAGCGATTTTTCGCCCGAGGCTCCTCCTCCAATTTGTGGCTTTGCGTCTTGATGTTTTTCCAGCAAATCAAGGAACCTCCGAGCGGCTGATGGCTTTTTTACAAGAAGCCTTTATAATATATATTTCATGTCCGAAATACACTCGGAGGGGTGGACATTCCCTGCCGAGGGGCGACCGCAATTACAAAATTTAACTTAATTTTTTATTTAAATTGATTTTCCATAATATTTGGACGATGATGGCACCGGGATATGAAACCAAGCCTTCCGAATGTTAGTACGCAATGTTAACCACTAGGCTACCGTCGATATTTTTACTTAAATTTGACTTTATTTTTATTAATATTTTATTGTTTTATTAGTATTTTACTTTATATTTATTTTTATTTTTATCTTATTTCATTTTTATTTTGTTTGATTTACGTTATTTATTTTTTATTATCTCTTATCCTAGCTTCAACTATTTTGCCTTCTGTGTCACCTCCTTTTCTTCAAAATTACGACTTAAATTTTTTTGGCACATTAAAATATTTATTTGGTAATTTCAAATTCTATTTCAGGTTTACCGATTATATACTTTTCACATTTTAATAATAACCAATCGTTTACATGATTTTCATTGAATTTTCTTAAAGTCAGATTATTTGTTGATATTCTTTCTCTTTTTAATCGATGTCCCCCGTTGATTATCCTAGCTCATCAAAGCTGGCTGTGATATGCGTTGAGAATCCATATCACAACCACTTGATGAGGCTTAGATAAGCAACATTTTATGAGCCACATTTTTTGTTGTGTTTTTCATATGAGTTTATTATTTCTTTTCTTTTTGCAGCTACAAACGCCAGTTAGCCAAGTTGATGTATTATGATGTTGATGACATTTATGCAATTTGTAACAATGGAAAGTCCTGTAGCGCTTCATGTTTGCACTTGTGTATGTATGAATATTATGATGTCATGTTAAATGATTTAAATGCTCTTTTTTGTGACACATTTTCGTAATTATTGTTTCGGATTTTTCTTTGCTTAATGGCGCAGCTCTCGCAGACGTCCAGCTAAGCTCATCAAAGCTGGCTGTGATATGCAATTTCAAATATGAAGCATTTCACAACCACTTTGTGAGATTTAGACAAACGTATTTGATATGCGTTATATATTACACATATGTACATACCTGTAATATCGAAATTTTAAAACTTTTTTTTTTGGAAGTTCATAAAATAATTTTAAAAAAATATTCTACCTTGTTTAGTATTTTTAATTTTTTTTTATTTTCAGATTTTAATTTGAGCTCTTTATATTTTTGCTTTGATTACGTTTTTAATACATATATGTTAATATGTTTTTATTTTATTTTTTCACTTTTATGATATTTTGGTCCAATTTCACAAAAATTATTTCTTTTTGTTTTTTTGCATTTATCACATGTGATGATTGATTAACTCCGTTAATGCTTTAGAATCGCGACGCTCCTCAAAGCTGGCTGTGATATGAATTTTAAAAATATATTCTTTTTCGATGAAAATGTCAACATTTCGCAGCCACTTTGAAGAATGACACAACTCTATTAGAAGGGACTGATAATGATGATGGTGTTATTTTTAAACACAAATTTTAAAAAGATGACTTCATGAGATCGACTTCTAAGAAAACATCAAACGAAAACAAAAAAAACTGAAGTTAATTAACTTGCAATTTCATAGCAATATACATATGTATATACATATTTTCTCTTAATGCTTTTTTCTTCAAGAATTTAACAAGAAAGTTATCAAAAATAAATTACGAAACTAAAGTTTTTGACAAAAATAAAAATTCGCGATTTATGCAAATGTTTGATAAGTGTGTGTATGTATATTTCTCTTAAAATAAGCGACTGATAATAATGACTCCATTATTTCGGCTCATATTAAACTTGAAAAAAAAAATATTAACACAAGCAAAATTTTATATGCAAAGAATATCACTGCACAAACACACGTAAAAAGATGTATTCTTCATAACAGAAAAGACGGCCAAACAAAGCCACAGTGATAGGCTAAAGCAAACCACAAAAAGTATTATGTACCTGTCAGTCAAAAAGCAAGTCAAACCCCACTACATACGCCAAAATGTCAGTAACATAAATAAGAAAATGTTAAACTTAAATAAAAATAATAATAAAATAAAAATAGAGGCGAAATCAGTGAATTACTTTCCAGAGTGTACTACGTATTATTCCTACAGAAATGTGGATAACTGTTTTAGTAATTGAAGAAAATTGTAGAAAAATAATAATTTTAAATTTGAATTTCAAATTAAGTCTCGACCAATCAAATCAGGCAAAGGAACAAGCGAAGAATTTTCTTACCAAACAATTAAAAATATTTCATCATCATCGTCATTGGCCGAACGAACTGTTGTGCAATGTTTAATATGTATGTTGCACAGTGCGGACTTTATCAAGAAACGGCGATTAGAGTATTCGCATTAAAATGTCAAAATTGATAATTAAGGTGACAGCAAGCGCCAGCAATTTCGCGAAACGTTGACGTTCACGAAAACACACAAAAAAAAAAAATTAATAAATAAATAAATAAAATTTATAACAAGAAAGTGCCAGCAGGGATAACTTGATCTACGATTCATTCACACTTACTTGACAACCTTTGAATGCATCCGAATGATGGGAATTGATTTCGAGATGACAATAATTTTACTGCAAAAATACACAGAACTCAAACGAACGAAGGTTTGCTTCGTACATATGTGAATTTTTATATACTGCTGTGGGCAAAAAGTAAGGTGAATTTTTAATTTGAGCTTCGCGCGTATAATATTTCGGGTTAATTCTCTTTTTATGTTGGCAGCACTGTTATTGACATCTGCGCCAAATTTCATGTCAATGTCATCATTGGTATTTTAGTTACACTTGTGCTTACTAAACGACTAAAAATGCCTTCCGTGATTTTTATAATGTCTGATTTAATTTTGCAAAGAAGAGCGATCAAATTTTGTTTGCGGAACAAATTTTCAGCTGCTGAAACGTTGAGGATGTAACAAAAAGCCCTAGCGGACTCTATGCCTACGACTCTGAAACCACTGACCAATTAAGCGAATATCGTGCTAAAGGTGAGACAAGACCGACAATATCATACCAGAATTATTGGCCAACAATTCTTGGTTTATGCATCACGATAATGCACCGTCACACACAGCACTCATTATTCTTCGTCACCATTTCGCTAAAAAATTCCACGAATATCGTTCCCCAACCACCGTATTCGCCGGACTTAGCACCATGTGACTTCTGGCTCTTCCAAAAACTCAAGATGCCACTTGGCGGATGCGGCTTTGAGTCGATTGAGGAGATTAAACATTAATAGGCGCGCTCTCTAAAGGCCATACCGCAACGTGACTCTTTGACATGCTTCGATAATTTGAAAAAGCATTGGCATAAGTGAATTGCATCGGCAGGGGACTATTTTAAAGGCGACGAAATCGATATAGAAGAATAAATAAAGATTCTTAATTTTACAAACAAATTCATCTTACTTTTTGCCCACAGTAGGATGTACCCAGTAGTGAAATTAAATAGTTGTTGAGTAGAATCCAACTGGTTTGCTTTTTTGCACTAACTAGGTTAATCTTTGCGCCTATTTTCCATGTTGGCTACTGGTATTAACTACAGCTCAAGATTTTCTTCGAACTCTTTCGAGCTGCTTGAGCAAAAGGGTACTCCCACTTTTGTTGTTGTTTTTGGATTGGGTAATATTACAGAAGTGACAATCCTTGGTCGGATATAAATTCCGATCGTTCCGGATCCGCCTGCAGCAGGAACGATTGGATTTTAATCGCCTCTAACGGCTTGGATGCCTTACTGCGGATAAATTATTGAACCTTTGCAAACTAGTATCTCCCGGCAAGATATGTATAACATAATACATAAATGTATGTATGTATGTATAAAATTTTGAAATCACAATCTAAAATTAAATAATCGTTGATGTGAACTAAGCATTTATTTCTGGCAAACAGCAGCGTGTGCGCTAAACAAATTGTCACAGATTAATTTAAACGCATTATTAAGAGTTTCGGCAGCGTGTTTGTGTAAAATATGTATGTGTGTGTGGATGAAGTTCATTGTACTTCCAGCTTAAGAATCATTGTTCGAAAGGTAATAAGTGACAAGCATTTATATGTATATGTTTTCCTTAATTCCTTTCACATCATCGATCGTCACATCGCTCGTCTTAAACGCTTTATACAATTTATTTTCTTCTTTAATTTCTCATGTCGTGTAGGTCAAGATCTGC